GTTGGCATTCTAACTTCAGACATTTTTCTCACCCTAGTATGTGTGTGTGTGTGTGTGTGTGTGTGTGTGTGTGTGTGTGTGTGTGTGTGTGTGTGTGTGTGTGTGTGTGTGTGTGTGTGTTGCTGTATTTGGCCCTTATTAATATTCCCTTTCATCCATTTAATGTATACTCTAAGTGTAAATTTCCAATTCATGGAATTAACTTTGACATTCTTCTCTGAACACTTTCAAGGTATTTCATGTCCATTCTACAGCACGATGACAAAACTAATATATAATCTAAATGGAGCCTAATAAGGATGAGGAAAAACATCAAATGGTCTAGTCATAACGCCTCTAGATGATTCCCAGTACAGTATCTTGTTTAACTATTTTGAACATTTAAACATTATTTTATCTACTTAAGATCCCTGTTTATCACGTCTCAAATTTATTTCACATTCAGATTTGATAGTTTCTTAACTGTCTGACAACACTTTTAAGGCCCCAAGAACTTTAAATTTGTTACCAATAACTATCTGTCAATCTTTCGTTCATGTTAAAAAGCCTATTTAAATCGTCTTGAAGCTGGTTTAAAAGTTTTAAATTTCACGTCTTATTTTAATCACCTGCAAATTTGCATGTTAATTATTGTTCAAGATGCAGGCAATATTTATTGCCTGCATCTACTTCCTCATCACAATCGACTTGAGAATGGTCCAGGACGGACCGAAACGTCGTCGTCCCTTCACCTTCTAGTGTGGTCTGGTCATCATACTTTAGCCTTGTTATTGTGACTAATCACCTGCAATTATTGTTCAATTCTGTGTCTAAATCAGTCATACATAAAGTATAAACAACAGAGGTTCCAGGACAGCTCTGAGACACTCCACTTGTAAGCACTTAAACTCGACTCCATTTATGCTTTATGCTTACCCTCTGCTTCCTTTGTAATAACCAAGCCCTTATCCAGCTTAAGATACCCCCCTTTACCGGTATCATGCACCTCGTTTTTTCTAATGAAGGGAAGGGAACTATCAGGGGAAAAGCGCACCAAGCCATTACAACTATATAGCACTTGGAAGGGGTCAGGATAAGGATTTGGGATGGGACGGGGGAAAGGAATGGTGCCCAACCACTTGGAAGGTCGGGGGAGTGAACGCCGACCTGCATGAAGGGAGACCGTCGCTCTACCGTCCAGCCCAAGTGGTTGGGCACCACTTTCATGACGAACAGTATCAGTGATAAGTAATGTTGCAATCCTTTCCACTATCAACTGTCTGAAATAAACTTAAAAAAATTGTAAATTTGTTAATTTGCTTTTAATTGTCGATTCAATCAATTTTCCTACAAATTACATTAAGCTATTTGATCATTAGGTTGATTTAAGTGATCTATCCGTTTAAAAATGTGCGACTAATTTACAACCCTCTATGATTTTGTAACTACTTAACTCTATTCAATATGAAAACAAATTCATTATTACATTATTAAAGGACGCTGGCAAGTATTTTGCAGTCTTAGAAACTTGTTGGGCTTTAACCTGGGGGCTCTTTCCAAATAGAGCATGGCCCTCTTCCTTAGCAAAGTAGTCACAGAATTCCCTCCGAATGCAACATGAATTCTTGAATTCTGAAAATTTATTCTGGAATTGTTCTCTCGCTATGTACAGTTCCAGGACTCTCTTCCAGAGCAGTGAGAATACATCTCTAGCCATGTACAGTCCCAGGACTCCTAGTGCAGCACAAGCACCTACCTCTGCCATTTAAATTGCCAGACTCTCTTAGAATACAGCACAAGCCTTGTAGTCCTATAACTCTCCTAAATCATCTCAAACTCCTCCTTAGATATTACAGTACAGTCCAAGGACTCCCTCATAACATAGCATGAGTCCCTCCGACAGGTGCTAAGAGACCTAGATGACTCTGGGTGCATAGCCCTTGCTCTCTGCCATGCCAACAGCCTCCTGCCGGAGTACAGGACAACTCACCATAATAAAGTCATCGAAACCCTCAGGTAAGTTGCTAAGCCAATAAGTGGACTATTTCTACCTCCACATTCTCTACTAATTAAACCTCTCTCTCATTCTCAGTACTGTAATTATAAAAATCTATTAAGCAAGACAAATCCAGCATTCAAGGTAAATAAATCAAGTGTTTATACATTATATATATATATATTATTATTTTAAATATGCCAATTTTAGGGGCTTTGGGAACCTATTTCCCATTAAAAGCATTGAATCTATGGGAAATTGTGTTTTGAGTTCTGACAAATCAACTTACAGGAGAAAATTAAATGATGTATTCCCATTGTAAATTTTTGGCTCCCTGTGGAGCTCAAAGTTATGATACTGGCATTTTCTAGTTTTGGAAGTTATCCAGTAGTTGCTCAAAACATGTCTACGGAGATGCATGTTAATTTAATTATGTACAATTAAATTGTTTGGGTAAGCCATTCTTTCCATTATGTTAATAAAAGTATTTCCTTTTGCCCTGCCAGTCCTGAACCAGGTCTACCTGTTCCCTGGGAGGACTTGCACACACCCGCTGCAAAGTATCAATATGCTTCTTTCATTGGACTGTGGGCCAGGCTAACCACAAACCAGGACCAGTGTCACCATGTCTTTCCCTTGTGTCCCCTTTCTCCAGCTGACATTGTTAAGGTGCTGGCCAGCAAACATGAGGCATGTGGTTATGCCTTCCAGAACTTCGTACATTAGATAGTTCCTTCACACAAATTCTTACGAGTAATTATGTTAAAATATGGCTGTTTCATTATCATTCTATAATTATAAATCTTTCTTGTGCTAACAATGCCATTGACTTTTATTGTTACAATCAAAAAGACGTCTTGTTCCAAGATTCACTTACCATTTAATAAATGATATTTTTTTTTTTTTTTGCTCCTTTAATTCTGCTCATGTCTGGCAGCTGTTGTCTGGATCAGTTGCACTGCCCAGGAGTTAAATAAGTAATTATCAAAAGAAAGCACCAAGCCCAGAACACCACATATCACCTTCTGTACTACAGTACATAAACAAATTCTTAGGTACCATTCAGAATACTAATACAAGAGCAAAAGGACATAAGCAATATTAAAGATATCAGATTCTCTGAGGATTTTATCGAGCCAAATGAAAGGCATTTGACAATAGTTCTGACAGTAAGCTGTAGGGGTGTGTATTCCATCTAGTTCCCACAAGTTAATTGTGTGGATGATACATTAAGTTGCTACACACATTCTACCCACGTGGACATTATCATATTTTGTAGTATAGTACTGTATTAACATTTGTGCTTGAACCACTCTGTATAATTTTTGTAACAACTTGTACTATGTAGTTGTTCATCCTTGAGATTACTAGTGTTTTTTTGGGGGGAGGGTGGGGATTTATAATGCATTAACCCTTGTATGTATTGCCTCTACTAAAAGTCTCTGATAATCATAGTAATTTTTATTCAGTTTCCTGTCCTATTTTAAAACAAGAATAATTTTCTTGAACGCTTCACACATCCTGTACACCTACACTGATTTGAGAATACTATAGTATAAATTGTGAAATATAAATAAATTTTTGTAGAATATAGACATTTAAATACCCAGTCCACTGTACTGTACATTGATAGACACAATGTATATTATATACACATAATATTAATATATTATATATATATAAAATACTGTATGTGTGTGTGTGTGTGTGTGTGTGTGTGTGTGAGAGATCTGCATTCACAAGTGACAACTTTTAGTCTGGTTTTTGCTGCACGAGTCATACATATTTAGAACAAAAACTGAACAAAACAACAATTTTCAATATATCTAGGATTTCAAAATACAAAAAACAAAGTGCATATAAATTTATTACAAAGTACCTGAATAAGGTGAAATAAAAACAATCTAAGGCCAATTTCAGTACTAAATGATATACAAAACATCAAAATAATGAAGAATGTGAAGACACGTCAGAAAGCACTTTCTTTGGTTAGAGTTTTAAGAGATAGTCAAATTTATTTTGTGATATTTATAGAAAATATATTTGCAAATCTTTATATTTTCATTAACACAGAAAAATATGCAGAAAAAATTTACTCCTTAAAAACAAATGATATGCAAGCAAGAGTATAAAAAACCAACCCATCCTCCTGATAAGATAGTACAGTACTTGTTATAATCATGTAGGCGAGCATACAAATATCAACGTGATGGACAAACAAAGTAGAATTTGTCACTATTCATTTTATAGTCCAGAAAAAATAAAGCTAAAACCCAAACTTAAATATTCCTAGGCATAGTATTTAGGATAGTATTTATGTACATATAGTACATACTGTATATGTACTACATTAGGCCTTAGATAGCATGTATTAGGCCCAGAATGGTTAGGTTAAATTATTAGCAACAAAAATTTAAAAACTTTTCCAACTTGTCCATATGCTACTTAATATGCAAGTCTACTTTCTATTGGTCCTTCACATTCATATTTGTATAATGGACCACATCGTTACCAAATACTTTCATTTTAGGAGGATGGGCTGAAATAATCCAACCCATCCTACCGATGGGGAGCCGGTCAGCCGAGCGGACAGCACGCTGGACATGCGATCCTGTGGTCCTGGGTTCGATCCCAGGCGCCAGCGAGAAATAATGGGCAGAGTTTCTGTCACCCTATGCCCCTGTTACCTAGCAGTAAACTAGGTACCTGGGTGTTAGTCATCTGTCACGGGCTGCTTCCTGGGGGTGGAGGCCTGGTCGAGGACCGGGCCTCGGGGACACTAAAAGCCCCGAAATCATCTCAAGATAATCTCAAGATAATCTTACCGAAATGATAGTAACTATAACTATTTAGTCAAAAGTACCAATATATAATGATGGACCACTGAAGTTTGCTTTTTGTACTTTATAAGGAGAGGTTAGGTTATGTTCAACAATTTATGTTGCACATCAAACATTTTCCCATTTCCCCAACTTCTATAATACAAAATGTCAGCTTCATGTTGGTCCATCACTACATATTGGTACTTTCTGAAAAAATAGTTACTATAAGTACAGTACTATCATTTTAGGAGGATGGGCTGTAACAATCATACGAGTACACATTGTGCTTAACATGACCAATCAACAAACCTGAGTTGTGCCTTGTATCCAAACACAGGGAGCATGAGTGCTATATCTACAAAATGTCAAGGACAGCCAGAAACACAAAAATATGAACTCTGAATGAGTGGATAGTATTGTTATATGAGCAATGTAATTAGCAAAAGAAGGTGCCAAGCTCAGGGAAACTATATACAGTATAGTAGTATCACAGAATGGGTACTGTAATAAGAGCCATTAGCTAATGGTTGTAGGGAACTGCTAACCACAAAAGAATCAATTATTTCACCATTTCGAAACAATACTTCTACAGCAAAGTCCCACGCACCTTGGCAACTGCCATCAATTTTTAAAGTCTTTCTTTGTGTAAGCAGTACCTTAAGTCTATTGCTCAGTCTTGTATTACTAGTAAGGATGAATAGTGTGGGGAGCGGGTTTCTAGATTGAAGCCAAGCACTGGCAGTCATTCAGCCCTAACAATCTAATGTAATTACATACATTTATCTACAATTTAAAAAAAAATTCCATCTGGTTTGTACGAGTCCATCACGTACAGTATATTTATAAACATTTGCATCCATTTATGCAAATCAAATGCCAAGTAATTAATGAGAATGGGGTGTACCTTTTATCAGATCAATGAAATTGTAGTTTCATTTGGGATGTAAAAGCTCATGTCTGTTGTCAATGCCTTCAATAACACCAGTAATGACCTAAGAGCTCGTATTAAAATTTCCCATATACTGTACTGAAAGGATAAAATGCAGTACACTGAATGGATAAACTGTCCATATATTCAGTGCGTTTTCATAAATACTTTCCATTTCTGAATGCTAATTATTATACACACCACTGCATATGTATGTTGTGTAGAGGAAAATGCTCATTCTTAGATGAACACAAAAAATTTCCATATATTTTGACATGCTGACATTATGAAATGATATGGAAAAATATTTTACTTGTTTAACCAGCCATAGAAAGTCACATTCATACAAATTTGCATAGTTCCATGACTATTACCTGCATTTAATGATATAAAGAAACCTGCAGTTAAATCACCACGACAAGCATTGACTATCTCTTACTAATTAAAACAAGCTAATTTGATATAAAAGATGCTGAGGAATGTGAGAATTAATGGAGCCGAGTTAATAATGTTTGCCGATGTACCTCCCCAAAACGGTCACTGGGTAACTTAACAGTTGTGTTGAGTTGCACCAACACATTCACAATCTGATGGATCAACCAGCTTATCCTTTACAACCTCTAGGTCATATCAGTCACCTTAGGAATGTGACCAGTAATGGATTACACATAACCCACTTCAAACCAATGTTTAGAAAGAAACTAAAGCGAGAACAAATAAAAAAGAACTTTAATAGTCTGAATCACTGTCATCACTGTCTCCTCTCCTTCCACCTCTGATGGTTTTCTTTTTCTGAACATTCATTTTCATCCCTGGACCAGAAGAAACTGGAGGACACATGAGGTCCCCATTGTATTCTATCACATCAGTACGTCCAATTCGCCACTCCAATACCTCTGTAGAAAATTCATCTGTGTTGCCTAGGTCAGTAAATCCAACGATATAATCCTTGGTCTTGCCATTCTTTACTAAACACAGCGTAGGAAGTACACGAATGCTTAGTCGTTCTGAAAACATAAAATATACTTTCTCAGATGTTGCTGCCAAGTTTTGAGCACCCGATATAGACAAATCATAAAAAAAAGCAGACATTGTTTCCAATTGTTAGGGGCAGGAAGCCTGTTAGGTTTATCAAGGTTCTCCAAAGCCAACGACTGAATTTTCCCCAGGATGCAACCCACAATAGTTGTTTAACTCCTAGGCACCCATTTACTGCTAGGTGAACAGAGATATAAGGTATAAGGTAACGTGCCGAAAGGTCTCTGTCAAGCCTGGAAATTTAACTTGGGGACTGTTTGACTGCAAACCAATTGTGCTACAGGAAAATACTATTACAACTAATTCCTTATACAGTATTGAGCTTGCAGATTTCAGGAATTAGCAAATGCAAGATGGCAATTCACTATGGTACATTTAAATATTAGTATTTATGCAAATATTTTATAGAAAATTCTTTACTTGTGTGTGCGCGCACGCGTGCGTGTGTGTGTGCGTGCGTGTGTGTGTGCGTGCGTGTGTGTGTGCGTGTGTGTGTGTGTGCGTGTGTTAGTCTTTTACAAGTACTTTTGAAAATTCAGTAACCAGTTCTGGAAATGTTCTTTATAAGGGAATATTACCATAAAAAAGTACAGTACTTTACCTGTTAAGAATGGAGCTTTCTCAGCATTAATTTTACAAAATTTTGTTTCAATGTGTTTCTTGGCAAGAATGTTCAAGTGTTTATCAACAATCTTGCACCGGAGAAATTGGTCCCGATAGAAGTGACATACGACGTTCTCAGACTTTTTTGTGGTTTCAAAGAAATCTTTTTCATCGTGTAGTTCAGAATACTCTCCGTGACCCTGAAAAAGAAATAAATTTACAGATGCTGTAATTGTAATAAACCATATCAGCAGGGACTAATTTATAGGTAGCCTGATTCAGTGCTAAAGAAAATAAAGAGCATTTTATAATAGATGAAGTTATCAGGTTGATGTTACCAAATGGGTCTAATGAGCAATAGGCACAATAGTGACCAACTGGAAAAGGCCAATGATTAGTCCTCACAAAAGATAAATATGGTAGGAAAATGGGAATTGTAAACTTACACTAGGGATGATAACCCTAAATTATAGCCAGGGCAATTTTAAAGTACAGTAATGTACTTTATATATTAGTCTACATTATAATTTCAATTATTATTAGTCTACACTATAATTTCAAAGTATTTTCTTGCTATGACATACATTATAAATCCAGTCCTGTTTCTTCTGTTCCCGCTGCTTCATGGCTGCCAAGCGATCCCGTCTGATGGCATCCAAGTCGTCTGCATCTAATGTTTCCAGTCTTTCTATTTCTGCATCAATCTGTTGTTCAATTATCTGAGTTGCAACAGCCAACTGTTTTTCTACTAATGCGGATGCACTCACTCCTGCCATTGTGCTAGAGAAAAAGCATTCAATTATTATAAGAATATTAAATGATCAAACAATTATAGTAAATCAAATTACAAAAGATAAAACTTCATATTACTGTATATTATTACACTTACATCATAAATTGTTAAAAATCCTGAAATTGCAAGATATGATAAAAGTTCTGCTTTCCCCTAGTAGCCAACATGCTTATTGATATATGAGGAATACACACGGCTAATGAAGTGTCTTCCTCTTTTGTCTGAATTTTTCAGTTGAAGGTCTACACTGTTCCCTTTTTAAATAGCGATACATGTTGACCAAACCACACACTAGAAAGTGAAGAGACGACGACGTTTCGGTCCGTCCTGGACCATTCTCAAGTCGATTGTGATAATGGTCCAGGACGGATGGAAACGTTGTCGTCTCTTCACTTTCTAGTGTGTGGTTTGGTCAACATTTTTCAGCCATGTTATTGTGACCCCTCAGCTACAATAGTGATATAGTTTCCTATATCCTATACAGAATACAGGGGTATTTTCTATTATACAGTACAGGGTATAGCAAAACAATGTAGTATTTCCAATTAGTACTACATGTATGTATGTATATACAATGTCAAAAGTACAAGCTTCTCTAGCCAATAAAATGCCAATCAGATGCAATGTCATATTGGTCACCAGAATTTTGTATACAACCACATACAGTATTTGGGTAAAGTTGACCATGCTCAAACTGATGCCAGATAACAGACATTTAAAAACCTATTTTACTGCATTTTTTGGTAAAATGACAAACATAGTCACCAGCATCTGCATAAACGTTTAAAAAAAATTACATATTATGATATAAAATATATTACATATTATAGATATAAAATAAGCATTTTGGGAAAATAATTGCATTATGAGACTCATAAGAGAAAATTATGTTTGTATCAATCCTCAAAGTTCAGTACAGTATGTCAGATCGGAAGACACTGTGAAGGGTAATACTATAGCAAGTATAGCCTAGTGTATGTTGCAAGCCAGTGCAGAAATGACATTCTATAACAATTTTTTTTTTAACCCTGCAAATCTCCTGTGAAACACACCAATTCCCCCCAAAAATACTATGATACACTGCACATAAAAGAACCCGACTGTACTACAGGGACCCTTGAACACACCAGTCCATGTATGAGTCCAGACTCACGCCCTGAATGATGGATACGGGTCCAGATTAACTCACCCGAGTAATGGGTACGAGTCCAGACTCACGCCCTGAATGATGGATACGGGTCCAGATTGACTCACCCGAGTAATGGGTACCAGTCCAGACTCACGCCCTTAATGACGGATTGAGGTCCAGATTGACTCACCCGAGTAATGGGTACGAGTCCAGACTCACGCCCTGAATGATGGATACGGGTCCAGATTGACTCACCCGAGTAATGGGTACCAGTCCAGACTCACGCCCTTAATGACGGATTGAGGTCCAGATTGACTCACCCGAGTAATGGGTACCAGTCCAGACTCACGCCCTGAATGAGGTTTACAAATCTAGACTGACCGAAAAATGGGTCCAAGCTGACTCATCGCCACACCAGACAACTGCTTGATCTATACCTCGCTTGTAGGGTTAATACCTATTGCAAACCAAATATTGTTCTCAGGACGGCACAAGCATGTTGTAAATGACCCTAAAATACTTAAGAGTGGTTACAAGAGCCGAAAATACAGGAGAACTTACTTAATATACTCGCGCCAGCCAGACCTCTGCAGTGATACACAGACGCGCAGTTCACTGTTGCAAGAATTTTTATAATTACGGTATTCAATCCGGCAATAAATCAATGTTTCCAGAAGTTCACTTCATTTAATATTACGAATAAATGATTAAAAAAATATTTATGTTTTCATACAAACTCAAATTATTACCAAGAAAGATATATGTTATTTACCTGTGGTATTTTGTGTTAACTCAAACGTGTTGTTTCTATCATTTACACATGTATGCATTTATTTATTTATTTATTTAATGTAATTTAATGTTAAACACATATGTAAGTGGGTAATTATTGGTAATTAGTAATGTTAATTATTTCGGATTAATGGTGCATAGGCGATAAATATGGATGAATTCCCTAACCTTGTTTACTATATTTACGTGCCCCTACCTATTTATTTATTTTTATTTATTTATTTATATACAAGAAGGTACATTGGGTTTGTGAGAATACATAGCACAGTATTTACAATCTTGTAAAGCCACTAGTACATGTAGCGTTTCGGGCAGACTTACGTAGAATATGTATGCAAGTATAGTTAATGTACACCATAGGCTGCAACTCGCAGTAGTAACTTACAAGCAACCGCGAGTAATTGCTACATTTAGTAATTGCTAAATTACTAGCAACTGCAGTTGCAACAATTCCATGCAACTTGCAAATATATTATTTACAAGTTGTTTTGCAAAATTTGCAAAAGTATTAATATTTCAAATTAATAAAATCTTATATCGTCTATGGTGTTTTGTTTCACCCGACGCATGTCCAACCACTTGGGCTGGACGGTAGAACGACGGTCTCGCTTCATGCAGATCGGCGTTCAATCCCCGACCGTCCAAGTGGTAGGGCACCATTCCTTTCCCCCGTCCCATCCCAAATCCTTATCCTGACCCCTTCTCAGTGCTATATAGTCGTAATGGCTTGGCGCTTTCCCCTGATAATTCATTCATTCACCCGACGCACAAAATTGGTCTTAAAGTTGTAGATGGAGGTGACTTCCTCAACTTCTTTTAGTACTCACCTAGTTGTGCTTGTGGGGATTGAGCTCTGGCTCTGTGTTCCCGCCTCTCAACTGTCAATCAACTGGTGTACTGATTCTTGCAGATTCTTGAGCCTATACTGTGCTCTATTAAATCTACATTTGAAACTGTGTATGGAGTCTGCCTCCACCACATCACTGCTTAATGCATTCCAATTGTTAACTTCTCTGACATTGAAACAATTCTTTCTAATGTCTCTATGGTTCATTTGGGTTCTAAGGTTTCACCTGCGTCCCCCCTTGCTTGTGTCCCACCCGTGCTAAAGAGTTAGTCTTTGTCCACCCTGTCAATTCCCCTGAGAATTTTGTAGGTGGTTATCATGGTACCTTAGAACAGTATGTATCAGAGTGTCAACTTATTGATAACTATAGAAATAAGGAAATAAGTAGTGTACCACATCAAATTGTTTGGATGTGTGATAATGGTATGATAGACAGTATACTTAAGAGCTACACGAATTTTGCCCCAAGAGTGTAACACTTATATGCGATGCTTACTATATTAACCTACAATGTTAAATGGGATTCTTGTATTGTTATTTGTCTATTTGTACTCACTGAATTTGTGCACCCCTTGAGGGACTTGAAGTAGAGGGGGGTAGAAATAGCCTAAGCTACTCTATCCCTTTGAGATGTATTTATTTCTTGTCTCATTAAACATACTTGAACTTGAACTTGTCTCCCTTCTTAATCTCATGTAAATTGAATCCTTCCAAGTAGACTTTCCTCCACCATAGGTGAAGGACGAATTTGTATTTATTATTGAATAATTCTTAAGTGTGTTACTACTGTCCACCATTGCCATTCTCTTTACCGTTTCTTCACCCTTCACCCTTCACTTCAAATTGCCCTTCAATTGATCTATCAAAAATGGATCTAAGTTATGTAAACCACTGCTAATGTTCAAATTACATTCTTTTGTAATCTGTATTAAAGCAGATTCAATTATGTTTCTGTTATAAGTACTTTTACAATTCGTTATTGAAGAAGCCATTTCCCAATCAATTTGGTGAGCATTCAATTAAAGGGCGATTTGATTAGGATCATTGATACACATTTGTCTCACTAATTCTTTGTAAATATTTACTATCTTATGCTATTATTTTCCATGTGTGGGCCTGTTGGTGGGTATAGATAGAAGCTGTTCCGTATGGGCCAATAGGCCTTTTGCAGTTCTTATGCGGCTCTGATTTGAATCCACCTATTTCCCATTCATTTTTCATTGTACCTCACCTCACTTCACCTCTCTCTCCTGCCTATATATATGTCCAATACTTGACCTGTAAATCATTCCTTCTGAAGATGTATTAATATACGAAAGTACTTAAGGAAATTCCTGTTTCAATTCTTCCTGTTCAATTCTGTTTCAATATATAAAGATACCTAAGGCCAGGTCCCAAATTTGCATAGTAAAATAACATACTAGAGTGAACGATATGGTAGGGAATACAGGACGAGCCAGTGAAGAGTAGAGGTGCAATAGGCCCAATTAAGAGAATGCTGTATGGGCATCAGAGGTTCACGGCTATTCAATATCGTTCCATGAAACATGAAAATATAATGTAAGAATAAAAGTATAATAAGTAATAAAGCATTACCAGGGCAGGGGGCGGTACATAATATCTGATTTTAGAAAGAATGCCAACTGTTTTAGATTTTTGTTTAAAATTCTGTACATGGGACTGTAAAGTCAACTTACCAATGAGAACATCAAGGAGTTTACCACCTACTTTCTTAGTAATTTGGATATTGTTAATTCTTAGGTTAATTTGATCAGTGGATTTAGAGTGAGTTTGTTAGTAGTTAGCCAAAGATGAACTTTATTTAGTTCAGTATTCACTGTGCCATTCAGAATGATAGTTAGGACTGGAGAAAATGATGGGTGTGTCATCAGCAAATAAAATTGGTTTGAGATGTTGAGAGGCATCCCGAAGGTCGTTGATTAGATGAGAAAAAGGAGAGGACCAAGTATACTTCCTGGTGGAACACCAACGTTAATTGGTAGGGTGGGAGAATTAGAATCATTCACATAGATATGCTGGAGCCTGTCACTGAGGTAAGATTGGTGGGTAACCTCTGACTCCATAGTGTTGTAATGTTGTTGAAGGTTATTGTGAAATGTCAAAAGCCTTACATAGGTCTGCAAATAGACAAACAGGGGTACTCATTTTTGTCAAGAGCTGCATGTAGCAAGTTTATCATACTAATCAGTGCATCACTGGTTCTTCTGTGAGGGTGTGAAGCCATAGTGGAAAGAGCCATGTATATAACTAAGTATACAAACAAGGAGGAACGGTTTCAAGCTCAACAAGCCACAATGTAGGACTGAGAACAGGAAATACATTTTCACCCACAAGGTCATTAAACCATGGAACCGCCTACCCGCCGAAGCCGTAACTGCCAAAACTGTGTTTCAAAATATATCTGGAAAAGATCATAAAGGCAAATGGGGGGGGGGACCTTCGACAAGCCGTCGGTTTCCTGACCTTGTCGAGGCCACTAGGGTTAGTGGCCCTCAAGTAAATCATGTAAATTACCTCTGTTTTCAGTCCTACATTGTAGCTTGTTGAGCTTGAAACCTTTGCTCTTGCAGATATGATAAGAGGAAAATAGATCGTGAGTCAGTGCATTAGACAATCGATGGCTATAGCAAGACGGGGTCCAAGAGCTAACATGTCGATCCTGTCGTAACGTGATGTAATCGGCTATTACACCACATTGCAACATTTAATAGTAACACAAGAATTAAATTAATAACACAATCTAGTATACAGGTAGTATGCAAGTGGAAATACAGACAATATCATGAATAGTTTCTTCCATCGGGGGGCCAGAAAATGGATGAACATTGAGGCAAAGAACTGTTACATGTAGCAACTTTACAGGTAGCTAACGTCAGTACTGATAGCAACTGTGCAGCTCACAGAAGTATGTCCGGAGAACCTGGCGAGTCTCGGTGCAGGTGGGCGCTCAATCTCCTACCAAGGATCACGGCTCACTAGACTTGGTATAAAGAGACTATATAAATATATATATATATATGTATAGGTCTATCGGTGTTATATGCAGAAGGTTATCCTAGTGATACGGTCAGTGCTTGGCTGGAAGTGACAACCGCTTGTGACCTTGAGCTGGAGATATGTTTATATCTAATGTTTAATGGGCTGTGGGAAACTGCTTTAATCTGCAGTGTTCACAGTTCCGAATTTATTCAGTTTCACTTTGTGAGTATATCTACTGCATTGGTAATGTTGTCTTATGAGTGTGGATATATTTATAGTTGAAGCTACCCCAGGTCGCGTGTCCCGTGCAGTGCTGCCACCTCACGAAAAATAATTGTACCATAACTACGGAGGAAAATTTACCTAAATTTACCTAATGCCCATCAACATAGTGGCCTCGACGAAGGACCGGAAGCCGGAGGCTTGTCAAAAGCTCCCCTTCCATTTTTCGGTAGGGTATGTAACAATTATATTAATGAGTAATACAATTACCTGTAATTAAATGCAGCCCCCCCGTGGCGCAGTGGTAAGGCATTCGCCCGGCACTTCGCGAACGCGTTGGCCTGGGTTCGTATCCTGGCCGGGAAGGGTTGACTAGGTGCCAGTCCTTAACTGTAGCCTCTGATCATCCAGCAGTGAATGGGTACCTGGTTGTTAAATGATTTGGCGGGTCGTATTCCGGGGAAAATTTGGATTAAAGACCTGCCCGAAACGCTATGTGTGCTAGTGGCTTTACAAGAATGTAGAAACTCTTGTTTATATAAATATAAAGTTATTAGAAAAAAGGTAAGATAATTTAGATGTGCCTCTTAATTCCACTTAACTTATCCATGAGAACTTATAAGTAAAACAGGAAGTTCTACATTAATCCTGGGTCTAATAATTACCTGAGAATTCCACATTCCAAGAAGTTCTACACTAATCTTAGGTAAACAGGCACCTCAGGGGGCCATGCATGGTCCCCAGTTTGGGAACCTCCATATTAATCGTAATAATTCCCAGAGGTCTTTCACACATAATAATAATAAATATTTGTATTTGCAAGAAGGTAAATGGGATTGGTTAATTACATAAGACTGGTATTTTTACATTTATGCAAAACCACTAACAAGCATAGGTCCTTAATATAACATATCAGGTAAGATGGAAAGGCACATTGCAGCAAGATTTTATATCAACAAATAACTACAATGTAACTTAACAGGAGGTGATTACATTGGTAAGGATATATGTCCTTAAGTACTAATACTGGGAAAGTGGGTAGTACAAGATACAGTTAGAGTTTGAAGCCCAAGGTAGGAAACTATGAGGATGAACTTAGGTACTTTTTGGTTTTACTTTTGAACAGGAGATGGGTTGGACAATTTGATTAACTCATCAGGGAGTAAGTTCCAAAGACTGGGCCCCTCTTATTTGCATGAAGTATTTGCACAGATTTAGTCTGACTCTGGAGATATCAAAGCTATATTTATTTCTGGTGTGGTGGTCATGGGTTCTATTACATCTATCAAGGAAAAGTTTCAGTTCAAGATTAGCATTTAGGGCCAAGATTTTGTACATGTAGATAGCACATGAGACTGTGTGGAATGAGTATATGTTTAGCATGTTAAGAGACTTAAACAGAGGGGCTGTGTTGTCTGAAGACAGAGTTTGTTATAGTTCTGATAGCACATTTTTGTGAGTAATGATAGGCTTGAGGTAATTTACAGTGGTTGAACTCCATGCACAGATACTGTATGTAAGATAGGGATAGATTAGTGCATAGTATAATGAGAGGAGAGCAAAGTGGGGAATATAATATCCGTTTTTAGAAAGTATGCAGACCGTTTTTGAGACTTTGGCTATGTGTTGTATGTGGGTGCTGAAGTTGTCTCTTGTCTATGTATAGGCCAAGGAACTTCCCCTCATTTTTATTGGTAATGTTTACATTATCTGAAGTTGAATCTGATTTGATGATTTACTACCAAATAGAATGTAGTAGGTCTTTTCTATGTTTAGTGTAAGTTTGTTGGTTGACATCCATGAGTGGACTTTTTAAATTAATTGTTGACAATATTATTTATTGTGTCGGGGTTGGGGTCAAAATAGATAAAGGTAGATGTAGCTATTTTCTATCTCTGATAGAGATGTATTTATTTCTATGTAGAAGGTAGTTAGTTTTAGTTTAGTTCATTTATTATGCACCCCATACCCATCTTGTGGGCGGTAGTGGAAAGGGTTACAGAGGCACATAATGGGCTCAGGGACTGAACCCCACGTAGAAGGTAGAAGTAGATAATGTATGTCGTCGATGTATCTGCAGTAGATGCGAGGTTACCCTGTGGGGTTGAAGATGGTTTCTTCTAGTGTTCCCATGTAGAAGTTAGCAAAAAAGGACTCCTAGTGAGGACCCCCATGGCTACTGCGACTATCTGTGTAGACATGTCTCCCCAAGGGCTTGTCAACTGGGCTATTTTGGTGCAAATCTCCAGAAGATTACGGAGGGCAATGTCTGGAATACCTAGGTTTGGAGGCATATCGTATGGAAAGTTTATTGTCTGCTTACACTAATATCGAATTACGAGTTTAATGCCTGTTTACACTGTACATACGAAATGAAGAAGAATCGAAGGAGAATCCCGTTATTAAATAAGTTTATTAGCTACAATAAACTCGTTAAACGTAGCATTTTTTGAAAGCAACAATTTACTTAATTAATTTTTTATTTACTTTTTATCCGAAAAATCCTTGTTATTTCTTTTGGTAAATGTTATTAATTATATACATAACAATGGAGGTCCCTAAGACTGTCCAATCCTCCAATTTTTGGACACCGGAAACATTGTTTTAAAATGCTATGTTGACTGAAATATCAACTTCGCGAAGTTTGTGGGCTGTTCTTACAATGTGTTTTATAAGTATGACTATAAATCACATTGTAAGCCTTATGACATACCCTAGTGGCTATAATAGCTTGTATCACATCTTATGTTTTAATATTTTGAGTGCAGAATCTTATCCGTTATACCACGTACAAATAAAGACTCAAATAAGACTTTTTTATTTGCTTAACTAACAAAAAAATACTTTTTTTTGCTTAACTAAAAAGTCACCTAAATGTAAGGAAAAATGTAACTTTCCTTGTAGTACATAAGTCATGTGCTGCTTCTGTGCAAAACGTTCCGAAATATGATGTTCTTCCATAATGTAGGACCACAATACCGCAACTTCAAATTACGTACAGTATACGCTTTTGGAACACTTGTACCGCAGGTGGCAGCACTTCTCGGGACGTTCGTGTGGGCCAGTGCAACATGGCATGTCAATACTGACGACACACATTCTCATCATCTCATTTGCTTACCACTCGATTAAGCACTGGTGTATAAATAGCCACAGGAGACAAGCATAGCAACACAAGAATCTTCTACCGTGATGTACTCTGGGTGAGTCAGTTGCAATTAGTGCAAGAAAAAAGAGATAGAGAGTAAGTTGCAGGAGTGGCAGCGGTGTTTGGGTGCGCCTTCTCAGTCTACCCTCACACCTCATGCGCATGAAAACAAAAGTTAAGGAATAAACGCAACAAAACTGCAACATATAATTTTGCAACCGATTAAAAAAATTGGAAAAAAAAGTCTTCAGAGGCATTGACAGAAAGCTGCATGGCAACAAGCCCTTGAGACGAAAAATCGGTCATGCAGAAGCAGATATTATTTCGTTTGAACCCCTCGAAGCAACCAAAGATGGATTTAGCAACCCACTCGTAATTTTCGCAGTAAGGAAGGTGTCAGGGAGTTATGATGGTTATAATTACGATCGTGAGAATGGTGATGTGGTCGTAAATTAGCTATATAAGGGAGGGGTCTTTCCCACAAATCTAGAGCTAACCGACGTTCAGAACTTTAAATCAAGAACTTAAAGCGTATTCCTTGCTTGAAAAAGATCACAGATTTAACAAAAATGTGATACCGAAGTATAGTGACATTAGGACAATAAATTGGAATATTGTTTCTTGGTAATATTTTCATGTTAGTATTACTGTTTGCCAGGAAAATATTAAATATATGACAGTAAAACCTCACCCGATTTTTTTTATTAACACGCTTGTGTAGACATGACTGTGTTGCTATCCTAGTCTACACGAAGGCTACAGAAGTATAGGTTAAGACCCTCATGGCTTAGGTTAAGCAATGGGGGTCTCTTAACTTGCTAGCTAGCGAGTTAAGAAGTAACCATAAAGGAAGAGGTAACCATATAGGTAACCATAGGGTCACTTTTGCTATCCTAGTCTACATGAGGGGCTTCAGAAGTATAGGGTAAGAGGTAACCATAGGGTAAGAGGTAACCATAGGGTAAGAGGTAACTATAGGGTAAGAGGTAACCATAGGGGTTACTGTTGCTATCCTAGCCTATATGAGGGGCTACTGAATATAGGCCAAGAGCTATCTAAGGTCTCTATGCTGCTACATCCAGTTTACATGAGAGGCTACAGAGTTAGCAAGGAGTCACAGTGCTGCTACCCTGGTCTTCATTAGGGGCTACAGAGTATAGGCTAAGAGCTAGCTATATATATTTTCCAGATCTAGCTATATATATTTTCCAGATCTAGCTATATATATTTTCCAGATCTAGCTATATATATTTTCGGGCAGGTTATGTTGCTAAAAGTTTTTCTTCAGTGTAAATGAACTACTAAGATGTAGTAATTCAGCACCAGTCGCCTGGCAACAAGAGTATCATCAGTCTCGTTAATTGTAATGATGAGTAATGAGTGTGAAGGAGATAATTGCAATGATGAGTAATGAGTGTGAATGAGATAATTGCAATGATGAGTAATGAATGTGAATGAGATAATTGCAATGATGAGTAATGAGTGTGAAGGAGATAATTGCAATGATGAGTAATGAGTGTGAAGGAGATAATTGCAATGATGAGTAATGAATGTGAATGAGATAATTGCAATGGTGAGTAATGAGTGTAAATGAGATACTGTAATTGCAATGATGAGTAATGAGTGTGAATGAGATAATTGCAATGATGAGTAATGAATGTGAATGAGATAATTGTAATGATGAGTAATGAGTGTGAAGGAGATAATTGCAATGATGAGTAATGAGTGTAAATGAGATAATTGCAATGATGAGTAATGAGTGTGAAGGAGATAATTGCAATGATGAGTAATGAATGTGAATGAGATAATTGTAATGATGAGTAATGAATGTGAATGAGATGATTGTAATGATGAGTAATGTGTGTGAATGAGATGATTGTAATGATAAGTAATGAATGTGAATGAGTTGATTGTAATGATGAGTAATGTGTGTGAATGAGATGATTGTAATGAATGTGAATGAGATGATTGTAATGATAAGTAATGAATGTGAATGAGATGATTGTAATGATGAGTAATGTGTGTGAATAAAATTGTCACACATGTGCTTATTTTTGGTTTATTTTTTTCTGTTTGGCGCCACCCATTTTGTTTATTTTGCCCACCTACTAATGGGTCGGGACCCACAGTTTGAAAAACCCTGCCCAAGGCGAAATAATGAATTTCCCCTGAGATGCACCCCACAACACTTGCCTAACTCCCGGGTATCTATTTAGTTCTAGGTGAACAGAAGCATCAGGTGATAAGAAACTGCCAAAACGCTTCTGTCCTGCCGCAGGACTTAAACCCGGAATCTTTCGACTGTTTATATAAAACGTACATGTGTTTTTTTTTATTATTTAATAATGTATGTAGTAGCGCACATGTTATTATGCTTATTTTTCTAATCAGTATTATATTTTCTATTTATTTATTTATTTATTTATATATATACAAGAAGGTACATTGGGATTGTGAGGATACATAGAATAGTAATTACAATCTTGTAAAGCCACTAGTCTTTCAATAATAATAATACCGTGCTATTTACTATATTTAATCTTATCAACGCCCCATAACCACATTAATATGCACTTCTAATATTAACAAATGATATATTTAAATAGTGATTATTCTTTTACTTGTAGAAATCCAGCCAGACGTTGAGAACTCTCCCTCAAGCCGTCTCGCAACAGCTTATTTAGCCCACTATGTCCAGGAGGCACATAAATATATCAGCCGTCAAACGTCTACTCTTACAGTTTCTGTTGGAAACAGTAAATAACATGAAGGCTTAATCCAACGAGACCACACACTGCCTGTCGGACTAAAATACAAGAATAATAGACTATAATCAACATCACGTTTTGAAAAAAAAATATATATACAAGATTTTCTCTTGAAGTGAACGTCTGAAACAATGTCGTTGTTCAGTCGAGTTACTGGCGGTAGCGGACTGACGGAGGAGGACCATCGCTTCTTGAAGTTATATAAAGTGCTGGTCACTGAGGGTCGTTATGCTCTACATTTAATATTTAAATGGGGGTGCGTAAGGGATGAGACTGTGCCTCTAACCGAATACCTCAAAGGTATGAAAATGAGTAAAAATGATATAAAAAAATGTTTTCGAGATTCCACAATGAGGGACAAAATGAAGAGCAATCCTTCAGGAGATGAGTTTGACATAGCTTTATTATATGTTTGTATTGAAACCACCTGTTCTGGCCTTGCTGACAAGGGAGCCCCAGAATGGGAAGGAAAAGACCACTCAAAGTTGGAATCGGTTTGTAGGTGCATTAAGAACTTAAGAAACATCTACGTCCATAATCCCCCAGTACTTGCCGACGATGCCATTACGGACACTAAACTGCAAGAAATTCAAGACTTGATTGACAAGATTTTAACTTTGGGAGGGGTTAAATACGGCCGTCAGCCGTCTGAAGTCAATAAAATAAAAATGTCAGTGTTAGATAACATTAATAAAATAATGAACACATCTCTAGACATTAAAAGTATTCAGCAGTATCAAGCTGAAATAAAAGATCTTAGGGACATGCAAAAGAACAAAGTACTTAATGATGGGAAATCCGAGCTTTTTTCTAAATATGAAAATATGTCTAAAATTGATCCAGCATCATTTATTTCCGGCAGAGAGAGACTGCAAGTTGCAAAAGTCTTTACTCGTCTTGAAGTTACCCGAAATCAGGCAAACAATACCAGTTACTGGGAGGATGTGGATTATGACTCGCTACTGGATCTAACAACCGAAGATGGAAGCAAGCCAATAATTACAGTGGTGGAGGGCGAGGCTGGTGCGGGTAAAACAACCTTGGCAAAGCTGATTCTAGATAAATGGATGAGTCAGAATGCGTCTGGCGACACGTCCACCTTCCAGGGGCTCCAGACTTATGATCTGGTTCTTTATGCTGAGGCTAGAAATAAGTCAATCTCCAGTTTCCTGTCTTTGCTGACAGTGCTTATGTCACAGGCATCCTACTATTTGTATGATGACGATTTATTAAAGTCTGTGCTTAATCTCAATGTTTTGCTCATAATTGATGGTCTTGATGAGCTAAACACAGCCTCTGAAAGACTGATAAAGGATATATCGGATGAACAAATTCCGAGGAGCAATGGTAAGCTTCACCTCCTGATTACTACAAGACCTAATATGCTCCCTGATCTCCCCACCCTTCTCCCTAATCAATCCACCGTTCACACCAGGCTTAAAGGAATTACGCAGGAAAACAGAGTTGAATTTGTATTAAAGCTTCATAATGAAATGATAACGGAGAATCTAAGCAATCAAGTCACTCAGGAATTAGTTGACTTTATGAAACAGTCAGAGTCACGTCTTGGGGAACACTTTCGGTTACCCTTAAACTTGACTTTACTGACTTACCTGTGGGCCTCTGATCCTCAACAAGTCAACTCCCTCACAACAGCCACAGGTCTATACATTGCTTTACAAGAGATGATCATAACCCGCTTGTCGACAAGAATCAAAGATCATAATGGTTCTGTTGAATTTCCTACTGACAAGTTAAAGAACCTTTGTGAAGAGTTCTTAAAATGTTTATACGATGTTTGCTTAGAGACTCATTCTCGTGGACACATGCAACTGTCTAGAGACTCAATAAAAGAACTAGAAAATAAAAGTAACGATCTGAAATTACCCTTTAATGAGATGTGTTCTGCCTTCCTTGCTGCGGAGAGTGAATGGACCGCCAAGGGTTATAAGATTGATCTTTTTGTGCCACACAAGAGTATAATGGAATTTTATGCTGCCTATGGAATTATGCTGGATATTATTGAGAGTAACAATCCACAATCATTTAAAGACGAGATAGAAGAAATTTGCCGGAAACTCAAATTATCTTCAAAAATCCAATCTGAGATGTTGGAAGAAAAACAGCCAAAAAGCAAGTCATTGAGTGACATACTGAAGACTCGAGGAATTGACCTAAATTCAGACAAAGTAAAAGCATCTAACTATCAAAATGTGTTCCTGCATCTGAGTGGACTTTTGGCTCATAAGCATCGAGACGACTTGAAAACGTATGCAAATGAGCTGGTGGCCATCTTGAAAGAAGCAAAGATGAAGGACTCTCAGTGGCTGGACCTGGTGGTGGAGACAAGGTGTGATGACCAAATGGCTGTTCTCATTGCCAAGGAGATTACGAAAGTAAGTTTGCTCCCAGTTTTATTTTACTAATTTATAAATTGCTTATTAAATGCAACTTAATTTTTACAGCAACTGCAAATGATGTGAAAATAATGCACGAAATAAACCCAAGTTGAGAGAGAGAGAGAGGAGACCGTTTAGTGCAACCAGTTAATGTGGTGCTTAAAACACTCCCTTGTGGAACGCCATATAGCTCATTGTGTGATCTGGAGCGGGAGTGGGGAGAAGCTTTGATGAAAATTCGCCCAATTGCTTCCGACGCCAAAACAATACAATTAGGCTAATAAATTTTCTCTCTAGGTATTGTTATACGCTTACTCCAGGTCAAAAAGTTGAGGTTTATGTAAATATAATTTAGAGATCCATTATAGATTTAAAAGCTTGAAGTGGCTATAGTAATTTTAATGGTGTCATTACGATTGTCAGTTCGTGAGTAGTGGTGCGTGAATATTATTTGGTGTATAGCCTAGTGGTCAGACTGTTTACTTATTCCTGATAACCCAGTGAGGTTTGGATAGTGCGATACAGTTGTGGAGGAAGTTTTAAGCCTTACACTGTGCTTTTTCTGTTTTTGTTGACATTTGGCATTGACTGGACGTGGGTGAATTGATATTACATATGATGTACTATGTACGGCTGTGCTAGTAATAAGTGGTAACTAATGTTAATATGACATAATATTTTAGCTCAAATTTAGTAATGGCTTGTAGTTCTACAGAGTGGCGGGTGCATGTACTCTTCCATTGCTATTGATTCATATTATTTCATTGATGGATAATACAAACGTTTTTCCTTTAGTGCATTATTTTAATGTTAGTAAATATTAATTAGAATATGCCAATTTTTTTAATCTCTTAGTTTTAAGCAGCGTAGCATATTAATTGATATATTTTAGGAGTTGCTAGTTCCACTTAATGGTACTTACAGACTTCAGGAGCCTTTTCAAAGCTCCTAAGGTATCATCAGAGTGTACAGTCGTGACTCAAGCAGGGTATTGTGTTATCTTGAAATTTAAAATAAAACAATAATTTGTAAAGCAATAAATGTAAATTTGGTTGGGTCAGTTGGCAATAATATTTCAGTTTAGGGTACTGAGAGCCAGGCATTAAATATGCTAAACATACGTGGGAGTAACTTTAGTTGTGAACTGGAGAATGTGAATTTTATTTTATAGTGTGACATCAGTAACCAATTAAATTGACTTTAATGTCCACCTGTGATTATCATCCAGGCGATTTATCGACGAGTTCTGAGATAGGCTTCGACTCTTTATACTGTATATATAAACGCGTTTGTGAGAGTTGGAACTGGTTTGTGGTTTTTGTGTAGATATCAGGAGAGACATTTTTCTCAGTTTGACAGTAATTCATGTTTAATATAACCCTACTGTAAAATATAGCATCTCACATTCGCTACGAGAATATCCACTAGCCTGAATTTTTGAATTTGTCTAATCCAGGATCCATATTGTAATTTACCTTCGTATGGCTTTCAGTCTTCGTACAGCCAAAGAAGAACAATAGTATACAGATATACAATAGTTATTGCAAGATATGTCTCGAAGTGACAATCAAATAATTTCTCAGTTTATATATTAACTAAAAATAGTATTTTTCCTCAGCAACTTGTGGTCCGTGATGGCCACACTGGAGCAGCGCTCAAGATGTTTGGTCATTTGGAACCCAATATTCCCGTACAAATAATCCTAGAAAATGAGGTGTGTTACATCCCCCAACTGGACGAGCTACTGGATGAACTCTCTGGTAGGGAGTGTCAGGTCGAGTTTTTCCTCAGGCATCAGTGGAAGCACAGGGAATATGGTACCTCAGACAAACTCCTTCAGCGCCTCACCAGCGGCACGGGACATGAAAGGTTAAATAGATTATGTTCTTGCTAATAGTGTGATAGCTCTATAACACTGAAATAAACATGAACTAGCATCAAAAGTCATACATGACCAATTACAGGTGCATCGTGTATCGCTTCACAGGAAATCTGGAACATTTACAAGTGTTGCCCAATACCATAGACAACCTTCGCATCACTTTGACTTGTAATGAGCATGCTACAGCTATCTGTAGCGAGCTGGCTACACTGGTTCGGAAGCAAAAATTACACTACCTTGGTGAGTATTATAACCACTTTTTAAACAGTTCATTGGTTGCTTTACCAAACTATAAACTAAAAATTACTTTAGTAAGAATACCGAGTCGCCACTTCATTTGCGATTCTCGGCAGTCTGTTGATGTATACACATGAGTAGTGTACATAATAAACAGCCATTAAACACTACAACACTATGAAACACAACACTGTAAAACAACAACACATTCATATACTGCTATACCTACAAACACAATGAAGAAAATTCAACACTGCTGCCTCTCTTGATAAATTAATACTTTATACAAACTAATACATAATACCTCATGTCTCCCACTTTTGCCTCACTCGAATGAAATCAAAATCTTTATCCATAAAGAGCTACATAATTATAATTGAATTAGTTTACACAAATTTTGAGTACATTATTTACGTAAGAGAAAGTCATAACAACAGCACAACGCATATTAATTGTAATTATATACTATATTCTCAGATTAAGATTTAAAAACTATAATTCTCATTAAATGAACAAATCCACAAGGGCCGTGATGAGGGTTCGAACCTAAGTCCGAGAGGATCTCAGACGCTGCCTTAATCGACTGAGCTACGTCATGGAAAAAAAAATGCAACCCGGAAATCATCCAGATTTACCAATGGATCCTGCAGTCTCTCCGAGACACAAACCAGGGCTTTACACAATTCCACCATGCACCCGAGCTATGTCAATAGGCTGTTCTACCTCTTCGCCCTTACTTCATGACCAAAAAGCCAAAAAGAGGTAGAACAGCCTATTGACATAGCTCGGGTGCATGGGGGGGAATTGCGTAAAACCCTGGTTTGTGTCTCGAAGAGACTGCGGGATCTGTAGGTAAATCAGGACGATTTCCCGGTTGCAATTCTTTTGACCATGTCGTAGCTCAGTCGATTAAGGCAGCGTCTGGGATCTTCTCGGACGTAGTTTCGAACCCTCGTCTCAGACCTTGTGGATTTGTTCATTTGATGCATACGCTATTGTGATTTCTTTGTGTTATAATTGTCATTGATTATAAAAATTATTACAATTGTGTCTGGAGTGAACAGGTATACAGTCAATAAACAAAACGGTTTACCTTGCCATCCTTATGGCCGAAACCATCTGCGTATTAACGGCTTTATGCATTTTACTTACATGAAGAGTGGAGGAGTCATAGGTATCATATGTATGTACACTTGAATAAATTATTATTATCAACAAAAATTTAGCTCTATTTTGGTATTTTAGGTGTGCATGTGATGGCTGGAGTGTCACCCGAGTCCTTGATACCACTGCCGGTAATAAAGGCCAAAAATGGTGAATGTGGCACCTTGTGGATATCAGACGTGAGAGACGACATGGTGGACCAAGCTTGCCAGGTGATCCGTGCACTCCTGCCTCCTGGAGGGTATGTTGTACTGACCCGTTGTCATAAGCTCTTTATGGTTAATATTTTCTGGGCAACCTTGGGGGGAAGAGGAGGGGCATGTACTCCTACTAGCCTGCACCGGCACATTCCTGCACGAGAACTGTCCGGCCAGAAAATAAACTATTAAATATAGTCGTTCGTGACGCAGTAGCTCGGCACCCATTTCTGGACTCCCAGCCTACAACTGTCTCTCCACAGACTCGGTAGACATAAAGTGTTCTACAGAAATCGTGCCACTCTGGGTTTTTCACTGCTGCTAGAATCCTGAACCTCTACGCTATATGATCTCCTTGGGTTAATAATAACCCACAGGCGGAGTACCGCGCTCTAACGAAACACAAACGTACACTTCATAGACGGGTCGAGATTGGCGTCGAAAGAACGAGTGCTGAGTGAAACTGTGCCAGCGTTACCCCCACAAAAATCCTGCAATACCATATGATTCGACTTTGAACTCTTGAAGAGACTTTGAACTATTGAGGATTGGATTACAATCCACAAAAAGGATTGTATGATACACAAAGCTACAAGAGCTTGTTTACATGAATAAAAGTTAGCATTTCAAACCATACGCAAAGTCAGTACAATACAATTATTAATTGTAAGCACTTTAATTTAAAATTCATCTAAAAAATCCTCTGGAACAATTGGGGGGGGGGGGGGACCTTTGACAAGTCGCAGGCTTCCTGTCTCCGTCTAGGCCACTGGGGAGATAGTGGCCCTCAGGTGAGTATGATTAACAGTTAAAGCTACTATATCATTGTATGTATTTTATTATTTCATTAAGCATTAATAATGATCACTTGTTTCAACAGTTTATTCGAGCATGTTCTGCAGACAGTACCAGAGCGTGATGTTCCCACGAAGCAGCATTAGCGAGCCCAAGTGCAGGGAGCTGCTGGACATGCTGGTTAAGGCCGAGGTCAGGGTGGCTAGGAATGGCGGGATACGCCTCACATCTCCTGCCATTGATATGGATAAGCTCTACGACCTAAAAGAATGGGCAAGGGAGAATCTCGGCTGCGAATTTTACTGGTAAGTTGAAAACTCTGCACGTTACAAAATCTGTACAAATGCCAGGGGTCCGGAGATGCGGCTTTGGAGCTTAAACAAAATTGAGTCATTATATAGAGGGTGATGTTGACGTGTGCTGTCGGGTATAACTGGTTGGTTTGCCAGACTGTTGCACCAAATATATTGTCTAAGTTTATTTTCATCTTATTGCAGCAGTGATGAGTCGAGCATGTGGTGAGGAAGCCCTGCTGTGCATCGTTAGAGTGATGAGTTGCTCAGGCAACCTGTACGTGAGAAGGCCCGGAAGGTGGAGTTGATCCTACTAGATAACATATTCGACCTCACGTCATAACGGAAGGTCACCGTAAATGATATAGATACTATTGCCGAATTGAAAACGAAGGTAAACAGATTGGTTGAAACTCTTAATGCTAAAAGGTTTATACTTCAAGATCCACAAACCTGGAAACTTGCTTTGTCCAATTATCAGCAAGATACCAATACCCACATTCAAGAACAGAAATGTGACCTTTCCCAAGACTAAACAGAAGATATAGCTAATCATATTCTACAAAAGCAGAAGACACCCAACTTGCTCATGAAGAACTCTCCCAACGCCAAACGAAATGTCTTAAAAAGAGCTGAATGTTATTTATGCCTTTACATGCCCAATTCGGGACTTTCAGACTCAATAATTTCAATATATATATATATATATATATATATATATATATATATATATATATATATATATATATATATATATATATATATATATATATATATATATATATATATATATATATTGGTGTATACTGGCAGCAGGTTTTCTTTCAAACATGTTTCATTGAATATGACCGCATATTCTGTATTTATTATTTTCTGGTTTAGGGCTTCTATCCCTCTAACTATTTTCTTAGCATCAGGGCTTAATTGAAATAGGAGTTCTCCAAAACTCATTTTCGTACTTTTAAGGTGAAGAAAAGAAGTGATTTACTATAGAGTGTATTACACTTATTTGTATAATTTGCACGACGTTTCGAACCTCCATGGTTCATTCTCAAGTGAACAGATCTTACAATACTAGTTGATTTTATACCCGCATTAGGTCAGGTGATAGTACAATGAAGGTGAAAACATGGGGGGATACATAAGGGATAAACATAGGGGCTGCAGAAGGCTTATTGGCCCATACGAGGCATCTCCTATCTAAACACAAAGATTAATCCAGTGTAATTGGCCTGTTATGTTGGACATTGTCTTCTGTGTTGGCATCGATATGTTCTTGTCTTGTCCTTACTCTCATGGTGGGTAGAGTAAATAGTTCCGTGATTTGGGTGTTCATGGTAGGTCGCTCTATTCTTATGTGAATTGCCTCAAGAATTTGTAATCTTCTTGAATCTTGGGTTTTGTCTATTATGCAAGTATTCTTGTTCAACATTTCTCTTGTTAGAGTAATGTCATGGGCTTGCTTGTCTTTATATATATATATATATATATATATATATATATATATATATATATATATATATATATATATATATATATATATATGTGTGTATATATACGTGATTATATATATTTCCTGTTTCATTTTTCCTCCGTGGTCTATATATATATATATATATATATATATATATATATATATATATATATATATATATATATATATATATATATATATATATATGTTATGCGTGGTTTCCTCCGAGGCTATGGGTCCCCCTTCTTCCAGCTAGAGGTGGTACTCCCTTCTATATATATATATATATATATATATATATATATATATATATATATATATATATATATATATATATATATATAATTTATTTCAAGGTGCCCAGCAATGCACAGATAACAAGGCTCTATCAAAGATCACATCATTTCCACACACAACTAGACCATCACTAGCTATATCCTGAACACACAATAATCGACAGATACAACAATATTAAATTAGACATTGCCAAAGCACTACATATCAAACATTCTTTAGGAAACAAAGATGCTAACTAATATAAGACAGTTTTCTTTGGCAGAGAGGTAGATGGTTGAAACAAGTTAAGTAAGAAGGCGGTGGGTGCCAAAACTATCGGTATTTTCAACGCGTTAGTATTTTCAAAGCATCATATGACAAAGAATACTGGAAGACGGGACACCACGAGCGTAGCTCTCATCCTGTAACTACACTTAGGTAATTACTCATCCAACTATCAACAGCTATTTTCTTATGTTCTTATCAGTATTAAGCATCCTCCTCCCCCTTCCATTATAAGATGATGACACTTGAACACAAGCACATTTACATTATACCTGTGTAAATAACATTTCAGTGTTTTTAGCATAAACATGACCAGTTTTATTCAATATTATAAAAAAATATGTATAGATTTGTAAAATATTAGCCTTATATATGGATTTTTACACTTGTTTCCATCTAATACATTTTCCTCAAAGCATGAATTGATTTGCAATGTTAATTATAATTGTCTTAGTTCTTAGTTATATTATTAGAAGTAATCCTTACAAATTTGTCTTGCATGTTGATTAATAAACATTATTTTGTTTATTTATTTATAAATAAACATTTATTTTGATTCTTCTTTGCACGTAAAGAAGAATCATGTATTGTCTGAATGGCTATGAGTAAGGATGGCTGTCTGGGGCTTAACAGCTGAGTGGACAGCGCTCGGGATTCGTAGTCCTGAGGGTTCCGGGTTCGATCCCCGGTGGAGGCGGAAACAAATGGGCAGAGTGTCTTTCACCCTGATTGGTCTGTTCACCTAGCAGTACATAGGTACCTGGGAGTTAAACAGCTGCTATGGGCTGCTTCCTGGGGGTGTGTAACAAAAAGGAGGCCTGGTCGAGGACCGGGCCGCGGAGACACTAAGCCCCGAAATCATCTCGAGATAACCTCAAGATGATCTCAGAAACACCACAGTGCCTTTATTATTAACTACTCTCTGTATTTTATTGACCAGTGGCTATGTATTGTACTTTACTGGCCAGTGACAATATTATGTTTCTTATTGACCCGACTACATTATATACAGTCATTGGTCGATAAAGTGCATTAGGTGCTTTATTGACCAATGGCAATGCCAACATTCTATGAACAAATCCACAAGGGGCCATGATGTGGCTTCGAAGCCCTCATCACAGCCCTTGTGGATTTGTTCACTTGATATATCCCGCTATTGTGATTTCTGTGTGTACTACATTCTATATTCGGCTGTTAATTGAATTAATTAATATATAACTTTATACAAAAAATAATTTTGTTGATTATAATTATGTTGCTTACGTATATTTATATTCCATAAATATGTTCCACATATTTATGTTTCATAAATAATGCATATTTTTGCTCAAAATATTATTGTAAAATTTAAAAATTTATTTAATTATTTAATGAAATTTTATATCTTGAAATATAGTAAACTTTGTATTGTAATGGTGTGTAATTATCCAATTTTGAACTGAGCTGTAAGACTCCTCACAATCATTTCTTAACTCTTTCTGGAAGAACTATCACTTCCTCCCCTAATATTACAACGTCCCTCAATTTATATTTCCCTCCTCATAGTATTTGTTAGTCCATCCCCTCATTATTTTCCTTCTAGTAATTTTATATCCCTCCCCTAGTAATATTATATCCGTCCCTAGTAATATTTTAACCCTCGTCTAGCATTATCACCTTCCTCCCCTAGTATTATATACGAGTATTATATACTTTCTTCCCTTAGTAAACATGGGAATAATAGGTAATGGTAAACATGGTAAAATAGGTAATCAGGGATGAGGGGGAGAGAGTTAACATTGGAAGGGGCAATCGATGGGGGAAAGACATTAAACATGGCCGAAATGACGGGAAAGGGTAATGGGGATAAGGGGATAAGCTAACATGGGAAGGGGCAGGCAGAATGAGGGGAAGACGATTAATAATTATATTAACAGCTGATCAAAAAAACCGCCCCAATAAGCAATTCTTATGGCCAGCGAATTCGAATCTTATGTATCACATTACGCTCATATGTACCTAACCGGCAAGATCAAGCTTACTAAAGTCTCACTACTAGTATTTTATCTCCTGACAATGCAACTAGAAGTTAATGTTGCAGTCGGATATATAGCAACGGACATGTTAGCAACGGTGTTGTTGTCCCAATCGAGGAATGTTTGGATTCCAAACATTCCTTTGGATTCCAGTCTCGTCAGTGTTTCAGAGACAGTAGTGTTGTGTGGTCGCTGGTCGATCTACCTGTGTTTAGGTGTAAATGTGGCACTATATGTAGTGAAATGTTATGAAGGGATAAAGGCAGTTTCAACAGTGTTCGCAGATTTAATTGTAGGCTATTTATTTAGCGAGTAATATAGTGCTAATATTTTTATCTAATTTGATTAAAACGAACAATTGTTGACTCAATATTTATATTTCTTCATTTAATAATTTACTGCAATCAAAGTTTCTGACACAAGATGTAAGTCACTTCGTATAATGACAGTACAACTAAACTCACATGACTAGCACATGCACATAATTGTCCTTTGTAAAAATGGACTCAAGTGAGTACAAACATCATATCAGCACCCTAATAATTGATATATTGACATCACTTGGGCGACTCGAGGCCACGATTCAACAACAGGGATAACATAGGCTTTTGGGATAACATAGGCTTTTTTGAGGGGTGATAACGTTGGCTTGAGTTAGGCTTACTTAAAAGAGTAGCGATGCCGTGGTGGTGAAAATGTCTCAGGTTAGGCCCTACTCCGGCCGAGAGCACATTAACGTTGCTGGGCGACTAAATCCACGTTAGTGAGCATATTGACGTCATCGAGTGTATTGATGGGCTACTCGACGGTTCAGTGAATACAACTTTTTCCCCTTGGCTTGTATCTCTGGTTTTAGTTTAGCAATTTATTATACACCCTATACCTATACCATGGGCGGTGCTGGACCCCATACCTATCCCGAGGGCGGTGGTGGAAAGGGTTACAGAGGCACATAATGGGTACAGGAAATGAACCTCACAGTTCATTTAGCAAAGCAAGTGACAATCTTATGAAGCTAGCAACACAATTTTTTAATGCATACAATATATATATATATATATATATATATATATATATATATATATATATATATATATATATATATATATATATACGTGGAAGTCGTTGAAGCTAATTTGAATCAAAATTTAAAAATTTGCATTATATGTTAAAATATATAAATAAATTTGTGGAATAGTCATGACAGTAATAGTAGTAAAAAAAGATTGACTAACTGAGGCACTGACATGAACAGACCCAAACCTGCCCCAGACGGGCTCACCATAGCCCGTGCTGCTCGGAAATCTTTGTTCCCAGCAACTGAATCTAAAACAACAACTCATAGTCACCAAGTCTCGTGCTCACGGCACTCACAATCTGTAATTCAAAGGAGTTCCTCGTCTTTTTAAATATTTGTACTTTACATTACTTAATGTTCACATATGAAAGATCCTGGGGTTCAGTTATCGCGGAGGACGTAAACGTTTGGGCATGTCGTTTCATTACATTAGATCCCTCTTCACATAGCAGTAAGTAGGTACTCGGGAGTTGGGCAACTGTTGTGGGTTGTATCCTGGGTATGGCCGTTAAGTATGTAGAGTATGTATGTATGTAGAGTATGTAGAGTATGTATGTATGTAGAGTATGGCTCTACTACCCAAAATCACTTACGTCCTCTAATTACTCAACACAAAGCTGCTATTAGGACAATATCCAATTCTGGCCCCAGACATCACTCGGTACCCCTACTCAAATCTCTGAATATGTTAGACATTAAGTCACTGCACATTCTCTCATGTGTAGTATACATATATAAAACGCTAAACTATAATGCCAATCCTGATCTCAAAAGCTTCATAGAAGGTTGTAACAGAACCCATGAGCATCACACCAGAAATAAATACAGTTTTGATATTCCTAGAGTACGTCTTAATCAAACTAGAAATGCTCTACAAATCAAGGGGCCCAGAATGTGGAATGACCTTCCCAACCATGTTAAAGACTGTACCTCTCTCAACCAGTTTAAGTTAAAAGCGAAGCTATACCTAATAAATTCCCTGTAACCTACCTTACCCTTCTATTGTCAACCAATGTCTGTGTTTTTTCTTTAAAGAGCGCTGTTTGTCGACATAATTGTATTTGTGCTGCTTTTTCATCTATGTTTTCATTTCTTGTTTTCATTCTACTCATTATGCTCAATTAGTATTAAGCTTGTCATTTAAGTTTATCATGCCCGAAACGCTTTGCGTAATAGTGGCTTTAGGCATTGTATGTACTAGCTCTACCTATAAGTCTACCAATCCTTGTAAAAATTTATTGTATGTATGTACCTTACCTAAATAAAATTGTATTGTATTGTATTGTATTGTATTGTAAGCCTAAGTTTCCTATCCTCGACCATAGGAAACCATATATATATATCAGAAATTTCCATCTAATCTGAGTTATTTTCAACAGAGGCTGCTGTAACGTTGGACTGATAAGACAAAGGCGGCCACAACAATAAAATATTCCTGATCAAAGAACCTAATTTAATATAAAGTTTGAGAAAATATTATATTGAACTTCTCTCAGAATATGAGTTCGAGCCATATTACAGATAATTACAGCCTGGCAGAGGAGGACCATCGGTTCTTCAGGCTATACAAGGTGCTGGTCTCCGAGGGACGTCGGGCATTGTACTGTGTATTTTTATGGGGGTGCAAAAGGGATTTAACCAAGCCTCTAAGCGTTCACCTTAAAGCCAGTGGAATGAGACCACAGGATTTCAAAAATGCATTTCGAGATAAAACAATGAGGGAGAAAATAGAAAACAATCCTTCAGGAAATGAATTTGATATAACTTTATTGTACGCTTGCATTGAGAACACCTGTGCCAACCTTGCTCCCAAGGGAGCTCCTGAATGGGAAGATCACACTAAGTTAGAATATATTTGCAGGTCCATTAAAAACCTAAGGAACAAGTATGTTCATTCCCCTCCTATCATTGCTGACGATGACACCATGAACAGTAAACTTATGGAACTACAAGATTTGATACTCAAGGCTTTGCGTTTAGGAGGAAACAAATACCAGCGACCCCCATCAGAGATCAACAATAAGATTCAACTAATGCAAGACAACATAGAAAAAATAATGATTACTTCTTTGGAAGTCGTAAGTATTCAGCAGTATCAAAAAGAAATAAAACAGCTACGAGATAATCTAAAAAAGAAAGTGCTTGATGAGGGAAGATGTGAACTTTTCTCTAAATACAAGAATATAACTAAAATTGACCCATCATCATTCATTTCCGGCAGAGAGAGACTGCAAGTTTCAAAAGTCTTCACTCGTCTTCAAGTTACCCGAAGTCAGGTCAACGGTGAAGATGTGGATTATGACTCGCTACTGGATCTAACAACCGAAGATGGAAGCAAGCCAATAATTACAGTGGTGGAGGGCGAGGCTGGTGCGGGTAAAACAACCTTGGCAAAACTGATTCTAGATAAATGGATGAGTCAGAATGCGTCTGGCGACACGTCCATCTTCCAGGGGCTCCAGACTTATGATCTGGTTCTTTATGCTGAGGCTAGAAATCAGTCAATCTCCAATTTTCTCTCTTTGCTTAGAGTTCTTATGTCACAGGCATCCTACTATTTGTATGATGACGATTTACTAAAGTCTGTGCTTAATCTCAATGTTTTGCTCATAATTGATGGTCTTGATGAGCTAAACACAGCCTCTGAAAGACTGATAAAGGATATATCGGATGAACATATTCCGAGGAGCAATGGTAAGCTTCACCTCCTGATTACTACAAGACCTAATATGCTCCCAGATCTCCCCACCCTTCTCCCTAATCAACCCACAGTTCACACTAGGCTTAAAGGAATTACACAGGAAAATAGAGTTGAATTTGTACTAAAACTTCACAATGAAATGATAACGGAGAATCTAAGCAATCAAGACACTCAAGAATTAGTTGACTTTATGAAACAGTCAGAGTCACGTCTTGGGGAACACTTTCGGTTACCCTTAAACTTGACTCTACTGACTTACCTGTGGGCCTCTGATCCTCAACAAGTCAACTCCCTCACAACAGCCACAGGTCTATACATTGCTTTACAAGAGATGATCAAATCCCGCTTGTTGAAAAGACTGAAAACCCACATTGGAGTTGCCACACATCCTACGAGTGGATTGGAAAACCTTTGTGAAGAGTTCTTAAAATGTTTATACAATGTTTGCTTAGAGACTCATTCTCATGGGCACATGCAACTGTCTAGAGACTCAATAAATATGCTCAAAATCAAATGCATGGAACTAGGATTACCCTTTGATGACATGTGTTCTGCCTTCCTTACTGCGGAGAGTGAATGGACCGCCCAAGGTTATAAGATTGATCTTGTTGTGCCACACAAGAGTATTATGGAATTTTATGCTGCCTATGGAATTATGCTGGATATTATTCAAATTAACCATCAAGAATCAATGCAAAAAGTAATACAGGAATTCTGTCAGAAGCAAAACATATCCCAAGTAATTCAGGTACAGATTCTGGAAGATAAAAATGAAGAAAGTAAGTCATTGCGAGACATTGTGAAGGCCCGTGGAACTAACTTAGACTCAGTAAAAGTGTCTGACTATCAAAAAGTGTTCCTGCACCTGAGTGGACTTTTGGCTCATAAGCATCCTGATCTCTTACACACGTACGGAAAACAGCTGGTGATGATCTTGAAGAAGGCAAAGATGAAGGACGCCCAGTGGCTGGACCTGGTGGTGGAGACAAGGTGTGATGACAATATGGCTGCCCTCATTGCCAAGGAGATCAACAAAGTAAGTTTCCAACCAATAGTAATTTACTATTTTGAGTGTAGTTTATTGAAGGGAATCAAATTGTCATTTATGTATTAAATGCGTGCTAGTGTTACTAAATGCGTTACTCTCAATATGCATCGTCTCCTGTCGATGGAATGACACCCTGTTGATTCAGGCAGCTTGTGACTTTAGGATACTTGAAAGTTAGCGTGGCACGATGAGGCTTCAATGAACACCCATTTCGGGCCAGAGCGCTGCATCCTAAACACTCTCTAGGATGTAGCGTCTTGCTCTAATTTCAACTGTTGTCTAACTTTTCGTGAACCAATTTAAACTCATCATCTTAAGCTAGACCTTATTTTACTGGCCGATGACATCAGTGTAGACACTTACACAATCTGTCACCTGTACATGTTCATAAACGCACCCGATTCTCTGTTGTTCCTGTTTAAAAATAGGGTACACTTATTGTTCATGGCAAGACACATTATTGGTATACTGGTAGTGGAGGCATTGATTTGATACCTGACAGGCCATATTCAACCCTATCTAAGAAGTGGTCTTTGATCATGAAACTTGCATAGTTTGCATAATTATATGGTAAGAAGTGGCGGAGAAATCACCATATCATAATATTAACCCAGAAGAAATAGTAAATTAATAATATAAACAAAATATCATCCATCATATCTTCCACCTACATACTGCAGCATCACGTAGAAACTACAATATCATCATCGATTTGTTCAGTATGACTAAATCATCTCAGTAAACTATCAGTCTTATGATATACGGAGCTTTGAACTCTATACCATTCCATGACATTTTCGTTACATTTCTATCCTAACTATAAAACATCTTAAATTTGTAATTTCTAGAGTAATGCTATTTTGTGTACGGCCACCCAGGAGCCTCACACACCGTAAGAAGAACACATGCCATACGTACTTATTAACTTATTAACTGAAAATAGTAATTTTCCTCAGCAACTTGTGGTTCATGATGGCCAAACCGAAGCAGCGCTCAAGATGTTTGCTCATATGAAACCTAATATTCCCGTGCAAGTAGTCCTGGAAAATGACGTCCGTTATACCCCACAACTGGACGAGCTACTGGATAAACTATCAGGAAGGAAATGTTATGTCGAGTTTTTCCTCAAACATCAGTGGAAGCACAGTCAGTATGGCACCTCAGACAGCCTCCTTCAGCGCCTCACCAGCGGCACAGGATGTGAAAGGTTAGATGAGATATCCTATTTGTCTGAAACATTGTAATAATCTCACACCATTTAATAAAATCATAAATGCCTCTAATTACAGATGCAGAGTGTCTCGCTTTACTGGGAATTTGCATAGTCTGGAAGTGTTGCCAGATACCATAGATAACTTGCGCATCACTTTAACTAGTAATGACCATGCTACTGTTATCTGTAGTGAGCTGGCTACACTGATTGAGAAGCAAACAATTGATTGCTTTGGTGAGTATTTAAGCCTCTGGAAACCAGTAAATTTATTTTTCAAATACTACAATGTTAAAATTACTGACTACATAAAGTCCCTAGAGATATCTAGCAGTCATAAGATTGGAGGAGCCTGCAGGCTGTCCAAATGCTCATGTGAAGCTGCTCCAATTTGACTAATTACAAAGCATGCATACAATTTTGATTCTTGTAGCTCAGCTTGTCTATCTCTCTCTTGAAACGAGTGCTTTCTTAAGTAATGTTTCACGAGAAAACCTTGTTTTACCCACACCAAGGCAAATCCAGCAGTCTTTGCAAATATAATTGGGTGAATAGATTGTAGTCAAATTTGATGAGAAAAATGATCTAATAAAAATGAGTAATGGTAAAATTTTGGAGAACCCACATATAAGATAAGCTAATATTAGTGACACCTTGCCACTAATATTAAGATATTAATATTAGATAGAGTTAAGCATCTCTAGTACAAAAATTATAATTGTTTATTTTTGTACCAGGTGTGCATGTGATGGCTGGAGTGTCACCAGAGTCCTTGATACCATTACCGGTAATAAAGGCCGAAAATGGTGAATGTGGCACCTTGTGGATGTCAGACGTGAGAGACGACAAGGTGGACCAAGCTTGCCAGGTGATCCGTGCACTCCTGCCTCCTGGAGGGTAAGTTGTACTCACTGCACACAATACTGACCTCTGGAGTGTTCATAATTGTAGACCTTATTTTCTTCAGCATTTCTTTTTTAAATGTTGAATTGTCGTTTGTAAGTGGGATACAGTTGTTGACAAAAGATGCCCTTTTTTATTTAAGTTTTTATGTCTTAATAACGGCTAAGCGATGCATATGAAGAGAAAGACATGGCACCTAGACATAAGACATGAGAGAGGATATATAATCCTAGTAAATATGTTAGTGATATGAGACGCAGAACTGAAGAAGGAAACAAATAAACAAGTGTTTGAAATCGAATATAGCGTAATAAATCTGAAATGAGATAAATATAACGTAATATAATAAAAGACTTATATAGCATTAAAATAACATTGCTATTAATGAAAACCACACAGTGTAGGCTACCGCTATTACCTACCACAAATATTGATAAGTTTTTATCAAATATTTGCGACTCTAAATTTGTCATTCTTTAAAATCCTCGGCGAATATGTCTTACTTCACATCGCTAATCTTATCATGTTTTTCTTCTATTGGCATTATAAGTGGTGTCTAGGACCTCATAAAATGTTCCGTAAAGCGGTGAGACATAACCATCCAAGCCTAGCGCTGTCTCGCTTCAGGCAATACCGGAGCGTAATGTTCCCACGTAGCAACATCAGCGAGGCCAAGTGTAAGGAGCTGCTGGTCAAGCTGTCTGAGGCCGGGGTCAGACTGAGGGACAAGGGGATCCTCCGCCTCTCCTCTCCTGCCCTTAATAATGACCAGCTGGACCACCTTAAGAAACTGGCCCAAGAGATACTCGGCTGTGTATTTTACTGGTTAGTGGAAAACAAGTTTTAATAATCTGTTTTGTTACATTATACTTGATGGACAGGTGTGTGTGTGTGAGCATAACTGAGACAATTACTTAACTCCACAATAGACAAGTTTAGGCCAATTACACCGGCTCTCACACACATTTATCCACCGAGAGGTTACCCCTTCATGTATAAACTATGAGTGAAAATCACACATAAAACTTTTATGTTGTCTAAAACTATGATTTATTGCAGTTGTGACGAGTCGAGTATGTGGTAAGGAAGGCGTCCCGCTGAGCATCATGATACCCCGTACGTGTCTCCATCATGTCTTCTGTTCTTCAGCAACAATGACTTTTAGGCATCCCCGTCTCCCCGTCTCCCGAGATCCCAGAGACGGGGATTCACCAGCACCCTTTGCTTCTGTCATTTCCTAGTAATCATTTCTGGGTGACAGGGGTGATAAATAATGACATGTGGAACGACTTAAGTCTAAGATGATTCTAGACAGATAGTCTGCCACGGGATTCAGGTTAACTACTAAATAATATTTAGAATGTATACGTATTGCTTCCTAGAATGTTGAAACAGAACCCATGGGCACCAATACTAGAAACAAATATCTATTTGATATTCCAAGAATGCGACTTAACCAAACTAGAAATGCTCTGCAAATCAAGGGGACCAAAGGAATGTGGAATGACCTTCCCAATCATGTCAAAGGCTGTACCTCTCTCTCTCTCAACCAGTTTAAGAAAAACTAAGTACTACCTAATAAACTACATATAACCATACCTTACTTCCTAAATGTCAACGTATGTCTTGCTATTTTCAAACAACATTTATTATTGACCAACGTATTTAACTGCTGATATCTGCCATGTATAAACTTAACTAAATAAACAGAAGATTACAATTTACTTTAAAATTCCCTCTGCTGTTCTGCTGCATTTTCTGCTGTTCCATCCATCATGTAATTAATATCATTCTCCTTTTCTTTTTTTCCTTTTTTTAATTCAATTTATGCTTTTGATTTCAATTAGTATGAAATTTTAGTCTATGTTTTTTTTTCCCTCAACTTGCCCGAAACGCTGGACGTATTAGTGGCTTCAGGCATAGAATGTACTAGCTCTATAAATCCAACATTATGTTCGTAACTCATTTTCAATGTATAATAAACTTTACCTGAACAATCATCTTATCTTATCTGGTAATATAATAACAGACAGCTAAACTTTTGAGATACAGAACGCGACAAAAAGTAGAACACTATCACCTTCAGCTACTACGCTGACGCCCACACACACACACACACACACACACACACACACACACACACACACACACACACACACACACACACACACACACACACACACACACACACACACACACACACGCGCGCGCGCGCACACACGCACTCCCTCTAGTTTGTATTCACTCGTTAGGTGAATACAAACAATAAACTTTGTACTCTTTGTACTGTACTTCTTTAAAAGTTACTATTTGTATTTTAAACAATACTTTTATATATTAGCACAACATCACCGAGTGTAATTTTACTATGATTATATTTCTCGTGACAAATTAAAAATGAAAAAGTTTATATAATATTAATTAATTACAACATCGGGATGTCCAATATTAAAAAACTCGCATTGATTTCAATACATTATCTCATACAGCCTGAAATCTATATAAATTATTTCATTCTCGCAAATTATAGTTAAATAGTAATATATTTTACCCATAATATTCTCAATATGACTTACATCTCATTATCCCTTAATGTAATGCGAAAGCATGTATTAATGGCTACATGATGTACTATATTGACTGATTAATATTGTACTATTTTGACATGCTCCATAAATTATTAATTTATAATTGTATTTAACAAATTGATTAGTCCGTGAATGACAAGTAACATGTAGCATAAAATGCAGAGTTTAAAATACACATTATTAATATTAGATAATATGTATTAAACTTAGATTATATGTATTCATACCTAATACGACCATAGCAACAATATAAACACAATTGTGCTTTTGTTTCAGAATCGTATATTACATCATCAGTTCTACGTCCCAAAAATATTCGGCACCAAATAGATACATAATTACCAAGGAAAAGCGCTAATTCAGTATAGTTAAGTAACACTGAAAATACATGTCGACCATTTCCTCCATAAACAATTTGGTTTACCAATGGCAGCATTTCGCAGATCCCACAGTTCTCAACTATACAAGACGCTGTTAAGTAACTGTACAGGTACTCTACCTTGGACCAGGCATCAAAATTAAATAATAAATTCATTTATATGACATCTGTGTTGATTCCAGTTCTTTGACAGCATCAGAGAAAGAAATAATATGACATGGGTGATTTCTGTAATCATTTATTGGATTTCATCTGGCTAATAATTTTTATCAGGATCAATCATTATTTTTTTTTAGTCATGGATAATATTCAGGCCTAAAGTATACTTGCTGGTTGGTCAGTGAGCTGTTACTACACAAGTCACTATTGCCCAGTGACTACACACCTCACTATTGCCCAGTGACTACACACACCTCACTATTGCCCAGTGACTACACACACCTCACTATTACCCAGTGACTACACACCTCACTATTACCCAGTGACTACACACCTCACTATTACCCAGTGACTACACACCTACCTATTGCCCAGTGACTACACACACCTCACTATTACCCAGTGACTACACACCTCACTATTACCCAGAGACTACACACCTCACTATTACCCAGTGACTACACACACCTCACTATTACCCAGTGACTACACACCTCACTATTACCCAGTGACTACACACACCTCACTATTACCCAGTGACTACACACCTCACTATTGCCCAGTGACTACACACACCTCACTATTACCCAGTGACTACACACCTCACTATTACCCAGTGACTACACACCTCACTATTACCCAGTGACTACACACCTCACTATTGCCCAGTGACTACACACCTCACTATTGCCCAGTGACTACACACCTCACTATTGCCCATGTGACTACACACCTCACTATTACCCAGTGACTACACACCTCACTATGGCCCAGTGACTACATACCATCAATAACCTGCTCGCATTACATCGATCAATGTTTTCAACCTGTATTTTTATTGATCATTGATCAATTATCATATTATAATTTACTGACCTGTAACGATACATTAAATATATATTAAATTTGTATACATTACTGATCAAAAACTTCCTACTATATATCACTGACAAGTGATTGTATACTACACTTTATTTGCCAGTAACTATATACATTACTATATTGATCAATGACTAGACGAATTTATTGACCATTGATCAATATGAGTATATATTGATCAATATATTTCAATCATACTGCATTGAAAAATAGTATTCATCGATTTAACCACGAGAAAAAATCTTGCTAAAAAAATCTATAGAAAAAGGTTAGGCTAAAAAATAAACAAATAAATTAATGTAAACATTAACTTTTAAAAGTAAAAAGTAAAAAAGATTAAAAAAATCAATACATATTTTGTGTGGAGAGGCAGGCAGGAGGGTTACCCAGTAGACAAAATATTGAAGTTCTTGCCAGACAGGATCAGTTATAACATTTGGGGTTTACAGCTCATGCTCAGTGACGATATAAAAAAAAATAGGTTTACTGAGAATTACATATATACTATATATAAATGTAGTATTTTCCTTGTAAATTGATATATATATGATGTTTATATTGTATATTATTTAATGAAGAAGAAAGTAATGAGATGTACAGTGGTATGCACGAATATATAACGCAATAACAGGAAGTTAAAGTGTGGCAAACGTTCTGGTCGGAGCTCTGACACGCAGGGGTGACTGTACCATCAGTACTGACTTCTCTTCTGGGCAGATACGTGCTACGCGTCTCGCTCCACATAGTCTTCGCTATGAAGCCTGTGTTTCGCTGCTCCAGAGGAAGAATAATAGTGTTTATGTAAATATATATATGAGTGTTTTGAAGGGGCATCGCTGTCAACACATTGGACCGTGAGTAGTGATATTACATGTGTGCGACATACTGGCTCCACTGATGTGTTGGCTACTGCTATGTGAACTCTGTCGTGTTATTTCGTCTATAACTGTATTGAAATGTTCAACAGTGTTCATTTGGTGAGTATTATATTGTTTTTTTGATCTTACAAGTTTTGAATAACTTCGTATCCTATCATTTGTCGAAGAGCTATGATATGCCGTAATATCACTCACAACTGATGATACATCCTCTCTACCCAGCACTGTAATCCTACTTGTTCAACAGTGAGGAGAAATCTTGTTTAAAAGTAATAACTTTAATGTCTGCAGAGACTGGTGAAGGAATAAAGGAATACAGAGCTGCTCTATTATAGCATGTAGAAAACGCGCTTAATGGGAAAACGCGCAGTACTTTCTCGGGAGACTCATAGAGCATTATCGTAAAAATAAGCTCTAAATATGACTTCAGGATTAAGGTTAGGTAAGATACTAACTTATATCTAACTGCGATATTTGGATACTGGATAATGGGATTTTTCCTGGTTGATCCATATTGGTTTACGGTCACATCTGTTGAATACGGGTATAAATAGTTTCACAAATTTTAACTTAAACTACGGACACTCAGACATTAGTTCGAAATCCAGATAGAATCCAGCTTTCCTAACACTAACGTCTTTCACAAAAAAGTAATAGAAATTCAATTTCAGTTTCAGTCTGGTTAATTCATTTATGAGAAGAATGCTTGATACGAGTTTCGAGATTTACACCTAAAACTCTACCTCTCATGTTTCCTAAACTTTGAAACATTAATATAATAAATATAATGAGCATTCACGTTACCATAGTGGAGTGTAAGCACTGCATAGAGCGCTCTGGCCTAGCAATGGCTGAAGAGGTTGCCAGTGCAGAGTACTTTTCACATGCCCTTGTATGACTAACCATCCTGTGTGATAGGGATTTTCAGCATCACGTAGCTACAGTAGTTGTTTGACACGTTGTACTCCCCCTTCATATAGTCTAGGGCAGCTGCACAAATGCAGATGTACCTAAATGTGTTAATAATAAATAAATATATATATATATATATATATATATATATATATATATATATATATATATATATATATATATATATATATATATATATATATATATATATATATGTCGTACCTAATAGCCAGAACGCACTTCTCAGCCTACTATTCAAGGCCCGATTTGCCTAATAAGCCAAGTTTTCATGAATTAATGTTTTTTCGTCTACCTAACCTACCTAACCTAACCTAACCTAGCTTTTTTTGGCTACCTAACCTAACCTTACCTATAAATATAGGTTAGGTTAGGTAGGGTTGGTTAGGTTCGGTCATATATCTACGTTAATTTTAACTCCAATAAAAAAAATTGACCTCATACATAGAGAAAAGGGTTGCTTTATCATTTCATAAGAAAAAAATTATAGTAAATATATTAATTCAGGAAAACTAGGCTTATTAGGCAAATCGGGCCTTGAATAGTAGGCTGAGAAGTGAGTTCTGGCTACTAGGTACGACATATATATATATATATATATATATATATATATATATATATATATATATATATATATATATATATATATATATATCGTACCTAGTAGCCAGAATGCATTTCTCGGCCTACTATGCAAGGCCCGATTTGCCTAATAGGGCGAGTGATTTCTTTATTTTAATAAATTGTTTACAACTAGTTTATTTGAATTATAATTATTATATTATATTATGAACATAAATTATTGACTTAGTTATGTTAGGTTAGGTTAAGCTAGGTTAGGTTAGGTAGTGTTGGTTAGGTTCGGTCATATATCTACGTTAGTTTTAACTCAAATTTAAAAAAATGAACTCATACATAATGAAATGGATAGCTTCATCATTTCATAAGAAAAACAATTGAAAAAGTGTAAATTCAGGAAAACTTGGCTTATTAGGCAAATCGGGCCTTGAATAGTAGGCCTAGTACAGCGTTCTGGCTACTAGGTACAACATATTATATATATATATATATATATATATATATATATATATATATATATATGTCGTACCTAATAGCCAGAACGCACTTCTCAGCCTACTATTCAAGGCCCGATTTGCCTAATAAGCCAAGTTTTCATGAATTAATGTTTTTTCGTCTACCTAACCTACCTAACCTAACCTAACCTAGCTTTTTTTGGCTACCTAACCTAACCTGACCTATAAATATAGGTTAGGTTAGGTTAGGTAGGGTTGGTTAGGTTCGGTCATATATCTACGTTAATTTTAACTCCAATAAAAAAAATTGACCTCATACATAGAGAAAAGGGTTGCTTTATCATTTCATAAGAAAAAAATTATAGTAAATATATTAATTCAGGAAAACTTGGCTTATTAGGCAAATCGGGCCTTGAATAGTAGGCTGAGAAGTGAGTTCTGGCTACTAGGTACGACATATATATATATATATATATATATATATATATATATATATATATATATATATATATATATATATATATATATAGCCTCCTCCAGTTACTTTCATCCTTATGCTTTCATACCCAATTAATACCCAACTCGCCCAAGACATTATATATACATACATACAAAAAGAATAGGGCACACATTCACGGGAGACATCTCCTGTCACGCAGGGTGCAGTTGCACCTCCAGCACAGATCTCCAGTATCAGCTCTTGATACTGGTAATGGCTCAAAAAGGGCCACCACTTACGGGCTATTCATGCCCGTGCCACCTTTTGGATGGCTTAATCTTCATCTCTCTCTCTCAAGAATAGGGGTGGCAGGAGAAGAAAATATTAAAGTGTTCAGTGAGAATACACAAGGTCTTCTCTGAAATACTCCATTTTTCTTCTTATAAATATATTTAGTAAATTTAGTATTTGTAATATTGCAGATGTAAAAAATTTAAGATTGCTTTCGCGCATGACTTTCCTGTGGCGAAACTAATAACCATGGACAAATTATTTATAATTGCAGTCTTTTTTTTTTTGTTTATCCAACAGATGCTGCTTTTTTAAACGAGCGTTCTTATCTCAGTGAGGCACAGTTGTGTTTCAACGATCGTCAGTGAAAACAATAGAGCTAAGTGAAAAAAATTGAATATGAATCACGATCTTTTTACACATTTATAGATCTGAGGATTTTATCTGAGAAGTAACATCTAACACCTACAAAATGAGCAAGATTACCGACTGTGCCACAAGGGAACATGGTCTGACAGACTATGACTGTCGCTTCTTCAAGTTATACAAAGTTCTGTTCTCTGAGGGACGTGAAGCTCTGTACTGGGTTTTTAAATGGGGACGCAGTAATGTTGAGAACTTTTTATGTTTAATTAAGGATAAACAAGTGAAAGCAAAAATTGAAAGTGATCTTCCAGAAAAAGATTATGATATTACTTTACTGTATGCTTGTATTGATAAAATTACTGATAGTGATTCACTATCTGAACGCCAAAAAACAAAGGATCTAAAAGAGACTTGCAGACTCATCAAAAACTACAGGAACAATTTTGTTCATTCCCCGCCTTCCATTGATGACGATTCCATAATGAAAAGTATACTGAAAGAACTACAAGCTTTGCTAGAGAAGGCTTTACAACTTGGAGGGAGCTGCTTCACGCAAGACGATCCAGAGGTCACACTTAGAATTCACAATATGAATAACAACATTACTAAAATAATGGATACACCTTTAGATGCTAAAACAATTGAGCAGTACAAAAGAGATTTAGAAAAGCTCAGGAATGAACAAAAGATGATAGTACTTGACGATGGACAAAGCGAGCTTTTCTCTAAATATAAGGGTATGTCTAAAATCGACCCAGCATCATTCATTTCTGGCAAAGAGAGGTTTCAAGTAGCAGACGTGTTTACTCGACTTGAAATAACCCAGAGTGAGGGTAACAATCCAAATGAGAATGTGACTTATGACTCGCTACTGAATCTAACAACAGAAGATGGAAGCAAGCCAATAATTACAGTGGTGGAGGGCGAGGCTGGTGCGGGTAAAACAACCTTGGCAAAGCTGATTCTATATAATTGGATGAGTCAGAATGCTTTTGGGATTTCGTCCACCTTCCAAGGGCTCCAGGCTTATGATCTGGTCCTTTATGCCGAGGCCAGAAATCAGTCAATTTCCAGTTTCCTGTCTTTGCTGACAGTACTTATGTCACGGGTATCCAATGATTTGGATGATGAAGTTTTAATAAGATCTGTGCTTAATCTCAATGTTTTACTTATAATTGACGGGCTAGACGAGTTAAACGCAGCTTCTGAAAAACTGATAAAGGAATTATTTGATGAATATATACCAAGGAGCAATGGTAAGCTTCATATTTTAGTAACCACAAGGCCTAATGTACGACCTGACCTACACAAAATTCTCAGCAAACTGTACACACAAACTGTACACACAAAGATCAAAGGAATCGCACAGGAAAATAGAAAAGAATTTATATTGAAACTTCATGGTCAAATTAAACAGATTGACGAAAGTAATCAGGACTCCCAGGAATTAGTTAATTTTATGAAACGATCCGAGGCACGTCTTGGGGAACACTTTCGTTTACCCTTAAACTTGACTCTATTGACATATCTGTGGGCCTGTGGTCCTGAATATGTCAACTCCCTGACAACATCCACAGGTCTATACATTGCTTTGCAAGAAATGACCATATCCCGCTTATCGAGAAGACTTCAAGATCACAAAGGTGTTGCTACACTTCCTACAGACAAGTTGAAAACCCATTGTGGAGAGTTCTTAAAATGTTTATACAATGTTTGCTTACATACTCATTCCCGTGGACATATGCAACTGTCTAGTGACTCCATAGATACACTAAAAAACAAATGTGAGGATCTAGGATTACCCTTTAATGAGATGTGTTCTGCCTTTCTTGTTGAGGAGAGTGAATGGACCGCTAAAGGATTTGAGAATGATTTTGTTGTGCCTCACAAGAGTATAATGGAATTTTATGTAGCCTATGGAATTATGTTGGATATTATTGAGGACAGTCACCTGGAGTCTATACAAAAAGATTTCAAAGAAATGTCAAAGAAATATAATTTTAACAAAGAACAGCGAGAATGTCTTAAACAGGTATTGAATTTGGAAAGACAAAAAGAAGAAAATAAGACATTACAAGACATAATGAAGAACTATGGAAATGACTTTGATTCATTAGAGGCAGAATCAGAGGTAACAGTGGAAAAGACTAAAGTGTCTGATTATCAGAATGTGTACCTGCACCTGAGTGGTCTTTTGGCTCATAAGCATCCTGATGTTTTACAATCATATGCAAAGGAGTTGGTGGTCCTTCTAGAAGATACTAAGATGAAGGACGCTCAGTGGCTGGACTTGGTGGTGGAGACTATGTGTGATAACAACATGGCTGCCCTCATTGCCAAATACATATCAAAGGTAACAAAACTAGTCTCCATAGATCAAATATGTTTAATATATATATATATATATATATATATATATATATATATATATATATATATATATATATATATATATATATGTCGTACCTAGTAGCCAGAATGCACTTTTCAGCCTACTATGCAAGGACCGATTTGCCTAATAAGCCAAGTTTTCATGAATTAATTGTTTTTCAACTACCAAACCAACCTAACCTAACCTAACCTAACATTTTCGGCTACCTAACCTAACCAAACCTATAAAGATAGGTTAGGTTAGGTTAGGTAGGGTTGGTTAGGTTCGGTCATATATCTACGTTAATTTTAACTCCATTAAAAAAAATTGTGCTCATACATAATGAAATGGGTAGCTTTATCATTTCATAAGAAAAAACTAGAGAAAATATATTAATTCATGAAAACTTGGCTTATTAGTCAAATCGGGCCTTGCATAGTAAGCCAAAAAGTGTGTTCTGGCTATTAGGTACGACATATATATATATATATATATATATATATATATATATATATATATATATATATATATATATATATATATATATATATATATATATATATATATATATATATATGATATATATATTTATTTTTAGACGAACATTTAATAATTTAATAATTTACGATAAGTACCATGTGTCCTATCACAAGTTTTGTTATTTATAAAATAGCCAATTCTTATTCAGCAGTTAATTTTTAAATATATATTTGAATTACCCTCTCTCTTCTTTCTTCATTAAAGCTACTATATCACACTTGTGCTCGACCATCTATTGAAAGTAACTCCACAATATAGCATCACTTTATAAATCTCTCGCCTCTTCAAATATATCCTAAATATCCACTGATGTATCAACCTTGTGTTATGCTCAGGTTGTATGGCCTATTTTTATGGTGAAATATCTAATTCGTATTGTGCATATTCTATTTCTTTGGTGATGTGATATTTGTATTTTGTATATTTATTTTCTATAATCTTTCATATAGAATAGGATAGCAGCACATTGCTGTGTATACCTAAGCTTGTTAATACAAAATATGGCTTATAGTGGTTTTCTAGTATTTTTGTCATCTACATGGTTGTTTCCGCTACAAAACTCGCTCAAATGTCTGAAAATATTATTTTAATTTATTGTTACATGTGACAATCTACCTGTTATTATAATATTACAAACACATCTGGGTTAGTACACACACACACACACCTTATATGACAAAGCGTACTGGGGAGATGAGACACCACGTCCGTAGCTATAATCCTGTAAGTACACTTAGGAAATTACACCCAATACACACACACACGATTACTGGACTTTAATCCAGATAAGTTAAGCGCATGAGGACAGGAACAGTCTGTTACAAACATTATTTCAGGCGACTTTGGATATGCACAGTAACTGAGAGAAGCTGTTGTGAGGCTGGTATTGCTTAGTCAATTTTGAAGAAGTTGTCTACAAAACTTACGAGTTACAGGACGCAGGAATCATGCAAATATCGGAAGAAGAGAGATTCTTTAGGAAATTTATTTAAGAATTTTACATATAATCTTAAGTACTTGATATTCTTTAAATTTACTTATATATTTAGTTCATAATTAATTTGAAAGCGTTACATTTTATTTAACTAATAGTTTAAGACTTACCCAAAACACTGAGCTTAATCATGGGCTTTGTAATCAATATTTTATTGCACTTTACATTCATCACCGTTAGTAAATGCAATATTAATTATTATACATAATATTATTTTCCCTTAGCAACTTGTGGTCCGTGATGGCCACACTGCAGCAGCACTGAAGATGTTTGATCATTTGGAACCCAATATTCCCGTGCAAATAATCATGGAAAATGAGGTGTGTTACATCCCCCAACTGGACGAGCTACTTAATGAACTCTCTGGGAGGAAGTGTGAGGTAGAGTTTTACCTCAAATATCAGTTTAAGCACAGTCATCAGTATGGCACTTCAGACAGCCTCCTTCAGCGCCTCACCCAGGGCACACGAGAGGAACGGTTAGAAAAGCTTTTGTTTTTCTTCTTAATACTATTATAATCAAATATTATTATTGAAAATAGAGATTGATAATTATTTTTAACAGTTATAAATGACTAATTTCAGATGCAGAGTATCACGCTTCACAGGGAACTTGAAAACTCTCACATCATTGCCTGAAACAGTACACAACCTGCGCATCACTTTATCTAACAATGAGCATGCTCAAGTTATCTGCAGTGAGCTGGATACAGCTTTCAAGGCCCAAATAGAATACCTTGGTGAGTACAAATGGCGAATGGGTGTGGCGACCCCCTCGTCAGTCATTTTACAGTGCGATAAAGGAGGGAGGAGATTAGGCTGGGGCTCATCGTCCCAAATTCCTCAAACTTACACACACGCCTTAGAAAACATAAGGTAATTACACAGCCATAAGAGCCTCCTAAGTAATTACCTAAGTGTAGTTACAGGATGAGAGCTACTCTCGTGGTTTCCCGTCTTCCCAGCACTCTTTGTCATATAACGCTTTGAAATTAATGACGGTTTTGGTCTATACCACCATCTCACCTAACTTGTTCCAACCGTCTACCACTCTGTTTGCGAAAGTGAATTTTCGTATATTCCTTCGGCAGCTTTTTTATACTAGTTTAAGTCTAGAACCTCTTGTTCTTTAAGTTCCAGGTCTCAGGAATTCTTCCCCTATCAATTTTATCGATTCCCGTTACTGTTTTGTACGTAGTGAACATATCGCTTCTTTTTTTCTTCTATCTTCTAGTTTTGGCATTTGTAATGCCTTTAACCTCTCCTTGTAGCTCTTGTCCTTCAGTTCTGGGAGTCATTTAGTTGCATGTCTGCACCTTTTCTAGTTTGTTGATGTGCTTCTTAAGATATGGGCACCATGCAACCACTGCATATTCCAGCTTTGGTCTAACAAAAGTCGTGAACAATTTCTTTAGTATTTCACCATCCATGTATTTAAAAGCAATTCTGAAGTTAGAAAGTGTAGCATAGGCTCCTCGCACGATGTTCTTTATGTGGTCCTCAGGTGATGGTTTTCTATCTAGAACCACCCCTAGATCTCTTTCTTTATCAGAATTCTTTAAAGATTTCTCACATAATTTATAGGTTGTGTGGGGTCTATGTTCTCCTATTCCACATTCCATAACATGGCATTTATTCACATTAAATTCCATTCGCCAAGTGGTGCTCCTTACCCTTATTTTGTTCAGGGCCTCTTGTCGGGTATGACAATCATCTAAGTTTCTTATCTTCCCTATTATCTTAACATCATCAGCAAACACGTTCATATAATTCTGCATTCCATCTGGTAGATCGTTTATGTAGACAATGAACATTACAGGTGCAAGAACTGAACCCTGTGGTACTCCACTTGTGACATTTCTCCAGTCCGATACCTTGCCTCTGACTACTGCCCTCATTTTTCTGTCAGAAAAATGTTTATCCATGTTAGAAGCCTACTTGTCATTCCTCCAATATGACATTTATAACTCTTAATACTTCCCTTATCAGGAAATAAGGGAAGGGCAATATCATCAAAATAAAAAATATCTAAATAATTGTTAACAGATCTGGAAAACTTATGATTGGGGAAATGACTGACTTACTGAACCAATGATTTTGATTTAGAACAGATTTCAAATTATAGTGATACCTTGTCACAGAAGGTGTTTGTTAACTCTTCCAGGTGTACATGTGACGGCTGGAGTTACACCTGACGCAGTGAAGCCATTGCCGGTCATTATGTCCCACAACAAGGAATGTGCCACCCTCTGGATGTCAGATGTAGTAGACGACACGCTGGATCAGGCTTGTCGCGTGATCCGTGCACTCCTGCCACCTGGAGGGTGAGTAGTGCCACAGTGTATTGCTCGTCAAACAGGTTTGTAGAGTAGCGAAAACTGAAATGCAAACCACGGCAAATTCGACTCCTTCCAACTACAAGTAACCACAATAATAAATTATTTGATCTTGCTCCTCAGGCAGTACCGAAGCATCATGTTTCCTCGTAGCAAGATAAGCGTGGCCAAGTGCAAGGAGCTACTGACGACGCTGGCATGCACAGAGGTCAGAGTCAAGGACAAGGGGGGCATCCGCCTCTCCTCCCCCGACATTACTAAGACCCAGCTGGACCTCCTCAAGACTATGACCAAGGAAACACTTAACTGTGTATTTTATTGGTTAGTAGCAAAACAATTTTAAAATGTTGCAATATATATATAGAGTATCTTAATGAGCGAGATTTTGTTCTCGGGAGTGGTGCGAGAACCTTCAGACTGTTTATCTTACGGATGCATAATGTTTGATCCCTAGCCATCAACGCAAGGCTTTGGCAGCTTAAGATAAGAAAACACCCTATAACAATAACCTTGAAATTAAAATGAGAGTAAAATCGAATAACAGGTTAAAAGCTGATTTTTTTTTTAACTTGCTTACTACCTCAAAATAGATATATACAAGTTTAGTTTAATTATTATAGGGTGGAATAAGTTTCAGGTTGATGCGACATTTAATAATAGCAGTGTATACTATATATTTCAATTTTTGTTATCGAGATATCTTATGTAATTAAATAATCTGGTCATAGCATGATATAATTAATTGAAGGCTAAATGAGCTAACACCTAGGGCTCTATGGACCAATTAATAGTGAGCAAATTTTGCACAGGGGCTCGCTTGTTGTAGAGGGTAATCACATTATCAAAAAATTGCCTCATTATACATCTTAAGAATATTACAAGTATAAAGTATAAATGCATTCTATAAATCATGCCCTACAAAGTTGTAACACGATACAAAGAAACAACTGTTAAAGAGTTCAATTAACAGCCACTCAATACTGCCAGCGTCATTCAATAGACAGGCAGGCAGACTGGCATGTAATTACTGCAGTCGTCTAACAAGGCATTATTAACTAATCATAGTGGTTATCACCTTCCAAGTAAACCCGCAGTGTGTTCTGTAATCATATCCTCCATGTATCACACTTGGCAAGATGAATAATTTAGATTTACAAAATTTAGGTTCGTTTAAATGTATAAATAATACTTTTCACCAATTATTGCTTTTGTCTTAGACTCTAGAGGCCTTGTTACACGACATAAGGTTCAGGAATAATATTCCATGCCTCTTATTTATTATATTTGATGTTTACTAAGTTGTGTGTGATTATGACAGTTAATAGTAGGTTAATTTTTTTCTCTCTACCTCTCACATTCTGAACCATAACGATACACGTGTTGACTGAAACGTTTCCATAAATTATGGAGCAAAATGATCTTGTGTGACTGATTGAATTTATGTATTATAATTCTCTTAGATTTAAAATCTCCACTGTTCATGCATGTACTCCTGTATAAATACAATACTAATAATAATAATAATAATAATAATAATAATAATAATAATAATAATAATAATCTACTTATTGCAGTAGTGGCGAGTCCAGCATGTGGTGAAGAAGTCCCACTCAGCATCATGGGACCGTAATGATGAAGGAGTCCCACTCAGCATCATGGAACCGTGGTGGTGAAGAAGTCCCACTCAGCATCATGGGACCGTAGTGGTGAAGAAGTCCCACTCAGCATCATGGGACCGTAATGATAAAGGAGTCCCACTCAGCATCATGGGACCCGATGCCTCAACTACGTGTAGCATCCTGTGACCAACTGTAACCACTGAATGAATATAACCAGTACTGCATTATACTGTATTTAGTGCTCCTGTCCTCCCCTACTGGAGCTTGAGGAGAAGCAAGGCAAATTCTTTACACTACAGCATATTGAACCAGTGGTCTCTGTAGCGGCTACAGCATATTGAACTGGTGGTCTCTGTAGCGGCTACAGCATATTGAACCGGTGGTCTCTGTAGCGGCAGGTGACTTGAGGAATGTCACTTCTATATTACATACTAGGAGGGAGACCCGGCTGTACCCGGGTCTCCCTCCCCTCTTTCCCACTACCCTCACCCATTTCTTCCCATCCTCCCAGTATTCCCTTCACCTCTACCACTTTACCCCCTCCTTTACCCTTCACCATCTTCCCTACCATTCACCATCTTCCCTAGCATTAACCACCTACCATTGACCACCTTGCCTACCATTCACAACACCATTGACCACCTTGCCTACCACTAACCATGTTGCCTACCATTCACCACCTTGCCTACCATTCACCACCCTGCCTACCCTTCACCACCTTGCCTACCCTTCACCACCTTGCCTACCCTTCACCACCTTGCCTACCATTCATCACCTTGCCTACCATTCACCACCTTTCCTACCATTCACCACCTTGCCTACCATTCACCACCTTTCCTACCATTCACCACCCTGCCTACCCTTCACCACCTTGCCTACCCTTCACCACCTTGCCTACCCTTCACCACCTTGCCTACCATTCACCACCCTGCCTACCCTTCACCACCTTGCCTACCCTTCACCACCTTGCCTACCCTTCACCACCTTGCCTACCATTCATCACCTTGCCTACCATTCACCACCTTTCCTACCATTCACCACCTTGCCTACCATTCACCACCTTGCCTGCCATTCACCACCTTGCCTACCATTCACCACCTTGCCTACCATTCACCACCTTGCCTGCCATTCACCACCTTGCCTACCATTCACCACCTTGCCTACCATTCACCACCTTGAATGGTAGGCACCACCATCACTTCCCCAATCTCCCCTCTCCCAATCTCCCTCTCATCCAGTCCACTCCCCATTTCCCCTCTCCCAATCTCCCTCTCATCCAGTCCACTCCCCATTTCCCCTCTCCCAATCTCCCTCTCATCCAGTCCACTCCCCATTTCCCCTCTCCCAATCAACATATCCATCCTAACATTTAATATGACAGATGAATCTTAGTGATAATGGAATTTGTTTATTTACCGAGCTTGAAATTTAGTGTAATTTGTCCTTTCGTGCAAAAGGGGGAAGACATGAGGCTCGATCTCCCTATGTACTGATCAAATCAACAAATCCACAAGGGCCGTGGTGAGGATTCGAACTTACGTCCAGGATGATCCCAGACGCTGCCTTAGTCAACTAGGCCACATTATGGTCCCTATATACTACTGGCCTGGAACCCAAACCATTTACCCGGTTAAGTTTCGTGAGGCCGCCTACTCTGATGAGACATGCTCTCTTGTATGTGTAGATTAATCATTCCAGTTATATTTTCAACTGTTAGTAAAGTACATTTCTTTTGCAGCTTCGGCGGCTATAACCAGTTCAACAGGATTATTTACCTCTGAAAAACATTGTTTTATGTTCTACATTATGTTTGTTGAGTAGCTAGAGGACAAATTTATATAGTTATAAAGTTATGTTGATACTTATTATGTATTATTGTCCTGAAGCTGTCCACAATCAATTCAGTACGTTAGAACTGATGACGATGAGCCACAATCTGAAGCCTGAAGCCAGGCTTGAGGGGGTAGAAGAACTCCCAGAACCCCATCAAGCAGGTAACGTGGCTGAAGATCAGACACCCACAACCCACACATCTGATAATGAAGAATTGACAACATTTTGGTCCGTCTTTCCTGTCTGTCCGTCTTGCCGTCTTGCCTGTCCATGAAACACCTTGACAGCTATATTTGACTCCAGCAGGAAAAGTATAGAACCTGTGGCTGGCTTAAGATAGCAGCATGATTATAGTCGTGTCTTGCGGAGTTTAAACAGCGATTATAGTCATGTCTTGCAGAGTTTAAACAGCGATTATAGTCATGTCTTGCGGAGTTTAAACAGCGATTATAGTCATGTCTTGCAGAGTTTAAACAGCGATTATAGTCATGTCTTGCGGAGTTTAAACAGCGATTATAGTCATGTCTTGCGGAGTTTAAACAGCGATTATAGTCATGTCTTGCGGAGTTTAAACAGCGATTATAGTCATGTCTTGCGGAGTTTAAACAGCGATTATAGTCATGTCTTGCGGAGTTTAGAGCCATACTAAATCAGTCGTGATTAAGGCACCGACTATCTGCACTAAATCTATCGAGCGGTGAATTTTGTAAACCAAACAGTTCAGATGGTCAGAGTGTGCGGTCTGTAAACTACCACTCACAGGATGAACCTTATTAACAATGCACAATTCATTTCCGCTCAAATTATATCTATTAAGTGAACACAATTAACTTCCGCTCAAATGATATCTATTAAGTGAACAATAAACTACTGGTCTCGGGATGATCGCGGGCACCACAATAACCATTGACAAAATGAATATTGAGTGCACAACCAACCAACCGCTCACAGGCTGAGTATGGGGTGCACAATTAACAATCACTCAATAAACTTATGGGGTGCACAATAAACAACCGTGCAAGATGAGTATGGGGTGCACAATAAACAACCGTGCAAGATGAGTACGGGGTGCACAATAAACAACCGTGCAAGATGAGTATGGGGTGCACAATAAACAACTGTGCAAGATGAGTATGAGGTGCACAATAAACAACCGTGCAAGATGAGTATGGGGTGCACAATAAACAACCGTGCAAGATGAGTATGGGGTGCACAATAAACAACCGTGCAAGATGAGTATGGGGTGCACAATAAACTTCCATTCGGGATTAGTATTGTTGTGAAATCGCTACCGCATGTGTGTGTGTAATGAGAGTTATTTTCAACGCAATGTGACACTCTGGATGTAGTCATTGTGAATGCGAATAAGAGTGTACATTTAGAAAGGTGGGGAGTAGTGTACATAATGTACATATATTCCTTGTGAATATATTTGTTGACTAATAACGGTGGTAGTTTTTGTTGACTCGTTATTATTACATCCTTTAATGCTTTAAGGTTTAGAGCGTGGCCCTGTACACTCCAATATACACAAGCCAAGAGTGCAGTTCATGTACAGCTATAAGGGCCGAGCCATAGTGAAGTGTGGCACATAACAACGGCCCAGGCTGGTGGTATACATTGGTATACTTCAGGGATACTTAACACAGCTATTATAACCACTACTGGACAACAGCTGGGGTTTGCTTCACGTTTAGGAGGGATCTCAGTATTATGGGATGCACAATATGTTACTATCCAGAATGAATATAGTGTCTCGACCCAACAATCTCCTGCCATAATTATCCCGTCTATTCTATGTATTACAGACACTATCCAGCCAACAATAGCTCATCTTAGTTCTGTAGGCAGTTGTAAACCAAAAAAAATATACGTTTACATTTAAAACACATTTATAATTTATAAAAGTGAAAAATGATAGTTAAAGCTTTAAAAATTATTTGCAAATCCTTAGCGATTGCGTTGTTAGTAGCAGTGCTGGTTGCGGTTACCGTCGGTGTGGTGGTGCGGATAGTGTTCGAGGGCTGCATTATCTTCGTGTTCTTCCTCGCCTACAAGATGGGCACCTTATGGATGGAGAATGGAAACTTTGACTTGAGCCCCTTCGACGACTTCGCTGACCCTAATTTGCAGTCGCTTGCCCAAGACCTCGGGGTGAAAAGGGAAACTGTGGAGAGTTTGACCCGCTACGAGAAGAAGGTGCTCCCCTGGCTCATCCCCCGGGGTAAGCTGGGGATTACCTGGGAGGATGTGGGCGGATGTGAGGAAGCCCTGGATAGGATCTGGCAGCAGCTGGTGCTGCCCTTGCTGTACGCCCGCTACATCGGCCGGGACCCTCTCATAATGCCCGCCAAGGGCATCCTCCTGCACGGCGACCCCGGGTGTGGCAAGACCTTGATTGCCAAGGCCATCACCGCCGAGGTCAATGCCAACTTCATCTCTGTCGACCTATCTACACTGAGAAGCAAGTGGTTGGGAGAGAGTGAGAAGATGGCGGGCGCCATTTTCAATCTAGCGTTCAAAATCCAGCCGTGTATCATCTTCATCGACGAAGTAGATGCTCTCTTGGGGACTCGCAACGAAATAGACAACAACACGGACTTGACCATTAAGTCTGTGTTCCTGTCTAGATGGGACGGCCTGGAGACGGACTCCCAGTCAATGGTGTTCATACTCGCCGCCAGTAACAGGAAGGACGCACTCGACCACGCCATTCTACGTCGGTTCTCCCTCCAGTTTCACATCCCCAAGCCCAACCTGGAGGGTCGGCTGCAGATCCTGGGCATCCTGTTCCGAGGGCTCCAGCTGGACGACGACGTGGACATCGAGGAGCTGGCCAAGATGACGCAGGGCTTCACGGGCGCCGACCTGAAGGAGGTAGTGCGCTCTGCTGCTGTCGCTGGCCTAGAGGAGCTCCTGTACGGTGACCCCAGACACTTGCCCGGGGACCTCACCAGCAGCCAGATCAAACGTTTACAGAACGAGGAGCCGCGGCTCATCAGCATGGCCGACCTCACCACAGCCGTGGCTCTTACTCGCCACCGCCAGAGTAACATCCATCACCTCTACTTGTGATCAAGCCGGGTCAGTTTTGATGCCCGGGTGACTGAGTTAGTGCCCGGGTGACTGAGTTAGTGCCCGGGTGACTGAGTTAGTGCCCGGGTGCCGGAGTTAGTGCCCGGATGACGGGTTAGCATTTCGGGTTACCATTTCTTACTCTTGAAAATTTTTCAGATTTATATTTTTTTTATCTTTAACGTTAAGAACGTTAGAATTAATGTCCTGATAGTACAATCGGGTTCGTTCTCGACTCAAAATCGGGATTTCCGGGTTCGAATCCCGGGCGGCACATGAATAGTTGGGCGGTTTAGAGGTTTAGATTTGTTATTGGCTTTGCAAGAAGGAAATTTTCCATCAAATATACTTCAACTCACTGTAGTTTCTAGAAAAAAGGTCGGCGTTCAATCCCCGACCATCCAAGTGGTTGGGCCACCATTCCTTCCCTCCGTCACATCCCAAATCCTTATCCTGACCCCTTCCCAGTGCTATATAGTCGTAATGGCTTGGCGCTTTCCCTTGATAATTCCTTCCTTCCTTCCTTCTAGAAAATATTTATTTAAATATGTCAGCAGTACAATAACACAAAGAATCATAACGTGGCTGAAAACCAATAATCCAACTCACACGTGAAATAACACTGACAGGTTCAGTCCGCACAGGAAAGTGAACAAATCCACAAGGGCCGTGACAAGGGTTCGAACCTACGTCCGGGATGATCCATGATGAGAGATTCGAACCCTAGTCACGGCCCTTGTGGATTTGTTCATTTGATATATCCCGCTATTGTGATTTCTGTGACGAGGGTTCGAACCTACGTCCGGGATGATCCATGATGAGAGATTCGAACCCTAGTCACGGCCCTTGTGGATTTGTTCATTTGATATATCACGCTATTGTGATTTCTGTGACGAGGGTTCGAACCTACGTCCGGGATGATCCATGATGAGAGATTCGAACCCTAGTCACGGCCCTTGTGGATTTGTTCATTTGATATATCACGCTATTGTGATTTCTGTGACGAGGGTTCGAACCTACGTCCGGGATGATCCATGATGAGAGATTCGAACCCTAGTCACGGCCCTTGTGGATTTGTTAATTTGATATATCACGCTATTGTGATTTCTGTGTGTACAGGAAAGTGATTATCCTACGGCGGACGAACGGAAATCCGGGTGCCACCGAGAGATATCTGCTTACAACTTCCTGTATATTCATCAAGACCATACCACGAAGTGAAACTGAAATTGAAATAAGTTTATTGAGGTAAGATACACACAAAGGGATGAATGAGGTAGCTCAAGCTATTCTCACCCCGTTCAGTACAACGTGTTCATACATATATAGACACACATCACAAACAATAAACATATTGCCTAACATTCTGAGAGATAAACATATTGCCTAACATTCTGAGAGATAAACATATACATTTCCTATACCACGAAGTTACCATCGTTCTTATACAAGATCACGGCTTTGGCGTGTTCATTTCACTTGTATGGTGGGGTATAAGTTTAACTTTAGCTCGTGTCATAAAATTAAGAAAAAGCTGTACAAAGTAAAGCATCAGCTTTGCCATTTTCTATTAAACACAGATAAATAATTCTGATAGCTCAACGTTCACAAAATTACAAAATTGGACAACTATATGAAGATGCAAGATGTTTTGTTAACGAGCGGTGATAAACGGAGATAATATATACTTAGTTTCTAACACTATCTCTAGTTAGCGGCCGGTATAGCTCTAGCTCATGAAAAAGTCGCGGTAGCCAACAATATCTTGAAGGGAAGGAGAACGCCAAGCCATTACGACTATATAGCACTTGGAAGGAGTCAGGATAAGGCTTTGGGATGGGACGGGGAGGAAGGAATGGTGCCCAACCACTTGGACGGTCGGGGACTGAACGCCGACCTGCACGAAGCAAGACCATCGCTTCCAACCAGCCCAAGTGGTTGGGCAGTGCCAACCATGTAGTTCAATTGAATTCACTTTTTTGTTTATTCAAAAGAATGTGTGTACAAAAAACATGAAAGAAATTTACAACTGTCGAGACAGGAGTTACACACATACTAATGAAGCCACTAATTACGCATAGCGTTTCGGGCAAACGCTTTGTTTCATAGTTAACAATGTAGCAAGCACTATTTATATAGTAAGCCATGTAGTTACCCACATAGCAGAACATATATAATACATATTATTCGAATATGCCCGCCGAATTCAAATATTCGGCGGGCAGCAGGGCTAGCCGAAGCCGTAAAACTGTGTTGAGTTTTAAAATATACTTAGAAAATATCATCAAAGCAAATGGGGGGGGGGGAGGACTTTCGACAAGCCGCCAGCTTCCTGTCCTTGTCAAGGCCACTAAGGTGTTAGTGGCCCTCAGGTCAGTCGGGTAAACATAAGCCATGAGAAGGAAATCCTTGGTGCAAAGCGAGGATGGATCCAGAGGATATATAGTAAGCCATGTAGTTACCCACATAGCAGAACATATATAATACATATTATTCGAAACCTTGTAGAAAACCTTGCAGAAAACCTTGCACAAAGCCATGTTGAAAACCTTACAGAAAACCACGTAAAAAACAGTTAGATAGTCATGTCGGAAACCATAAAATAAATAATGTAATAAACCATTTATTATAAGCCACGGAGTAAAACGTGTAAAATATAATCCATGTAAACCATTCAATGTCATATACAGTAAGTGCACAATGTAATAAGCCATGCATAGTAAACCATGTGAAAAGCCAGATAGTAATGGTCTGAGTTTTGATTTTTGTTTTATTGCTAATAATTAGCTGTGGTACACTGTAAACCTACATATGGACGAGCTAGGGTTGCCAGAGTATAGGCTAAGAGTTCCTGTCACTTAGTTTCACCTAATATCATCTCACAGGGATGATTAATCATACATGAGATATGAGCCTAGTCTACCATAGGCTGTCCTAGCAAACTTTGGGTCAAAGATGAGAATATCTTAAAATATTCTTGACGGAATAATTCAAATTTTTTGGTGGGGACGCGAAGAAGTCTCCCAGGTGCGATTACAGTAACAGTTAATGAACTCCGCGTTGGATTTGAACTGCTGTTCATTTCCAGAATTCTATGATGCGGCCGCTAAAGAACGAGTTGTTAGAGGCCAAACGAAACAAGCACATGTTTTAGATTCAGTTACTCGGAACATAAGTTCCAAGTAGCACGGGCTATGGTGAGTCCGTAGTGGACTTACCTGGCACAGGAGTCAACAGTCTCCGTGGTGTAGTGGTAAGACACTCGCCTGGCGTTCCGCGAGCGCTATGTCATGGGTTCGTATCCTGGCCGGGGAGGATTTACTGGGCTCAATTCCTTAACTGTAGCCTCTGTTTAACGCAACAGTAAAATGTGTACTTGGATGAAAAAACGATTCTTCGCGGCAGGGGATCGTATTCCAGGGACCATAGGATTAAGGACTTGCCCGAAACGCTACGCGTACTAGTGGCTGTACAAGAATGTAACAACTCTTGTATATATCTCAAAAAAAAAAAAAAAAAAAAAAAGGAGCGGGGCAAGTAGCATGGGCAATGTGAGCATGAAACAAGCACAGATCTAATATACTTATGGCATATTTTATTATGTTCGACGTTTCCAAGCATATTTACACATTCACATTGTTCGGGATACTTAGTTTTTTCTTGGAATAAATGTAACTGATCACATAAATCAATCCTATTTACACAGGAAAATGCATAGACCAATAGAATGATGTGCTATCGTAATTGCTGATGCAGCACAGCTAAATAGATTAATATCTAATATACTGTGTAATAATTCACGTCGTCGGGGACAGGAAGCCTGCATCTAGTCTTATTGAGGCCCCTTTAGAGTCCATCTGTGCTGACCTTCTCCAAAATACATCCCGTTACAAATGTGTAACTCCTGGGTACCTATTCTACTGTTAGGTGAAGAGAGGTATCAGTTGATAGGTAACGTGCCCAACCTTTTCTGGGGTGCCCGAGGACTGAACCCAGGACCCTCGAGTGTGAACTGAGGATAAAGACTACTGTGCTAAAGCTTGTCAGCAAATTTGTTTCTGCGGGAGATGGGTTGTAGTTTTAACGGGGAGGGAGGGGGAGGGGGCGAAAGTCCGGAGCATCTGTGGCAGTCTGGGGACCCTTCTGTGCGCAGTCTGGGGACCCTTCTGTGTGCAGTCTAGAGACCCTTCTGTGCGCAGTCTGGGGACCCTTCTGTGTGCAGTCTAGAGACCCTTCTGTGCGCAGTCTGGGGACCCTTCTGTGCGCAGTCTGGAGACCCTTCTGTGCGCAGTCTGGAGACCCTTCTGTGTGCAGTCTGGGAACACTTCTGTGCGCAATGGGGGACCCATTTTGCGCGCAGTTGGGGCCTTGCATACAGTGTCCCCTAACATGTGCTGCGGGGAGATTCTCTTTTCCCCCATAGACCACAATAGTAGGCTGTATAGGAGCGCACGTAGGCACTTTCTGCGTGGCTATGTAATAGCCACTCTAGAAAGATCGATAAACTATTTAGAAAACAAAGATTTGAAATATACAGCCCAACTTAGGCTAACACAATAATACATATATATGTAACAATTCATTTCCACGCGGAAATATTTGTGTTGGAAGAAAATGAACGCCTTGAAGAAATTAAATATGCCTCCCTGGGTCTTGACGGTGTTTATAGCGTCGGGGATACCAACCACGAAGACGAATTGAACTAAACATTTATTATATAAAAGACCCTTCTATATATTCTATGGTATGCTTTTTTAAATGAAATTGTTATATAATTTATATGTTACTTATATTTTTGTATACGCGTCACCTGGAAAGTCAATAGGTTTGACAGTTGTGAGGGTAGGGTTGGTACGCTTGTCAGGAGTAAATAAACTAAACTGAGCGTTGTGTTGACGAAGAGTAAACTCTGGTGTGCAGTAAACTCCAGCGACCAGTCTTTATGTAAACTGTACACGCAAGTCAACACCAAGGTCATCAACATGATGGGAAATAGAGAAAAAATGTACGAGGACTTGAACTTTCCCTACTGTGACGAAGTCAGCAAATACGAAAAACTTGACAAGATTGGCCAAGGAACATTTGGGTAAACTTGTATACTTCTAATGTTATAGTCTACTTGTTGTAGTGTACAAGGACACTTTCAAACACTTCTTGAATCATTTTTGCAAATAGAAATTTGAGAATTATTCCCAAAATGTCATTGAATCCTTGCTCCTGGTTTAATTGTGTACCCATAACTGAGTATTAAATTACATTTCAAAATGTTAAACAATTTTCTGGACAATATCAAGCCACTGATACATTTTATTTTCTTGAATCATGCCAATAATATAGACGATTTTGCAATTATGCCAACAGTGTAGCAAAACTGGATTGTGTGCATAGAAAAGGCTCTGTTTTCATCTGTCACACTGTCTCCTTACTGGATCACATTGCATTCTTGTTATACTAACAATGATAATAACAGTATTCAGTGCACCTCAGGCAGGTACATTCACTGCATCTCAATTAGGTGCAATATATATACATATATAGCAATGTCACAATATCATTTCAGAATTGTGAACTTATAATATATTCTGGATGAAAATGCATTTTAATAAATTCTTTGAATGTTAGAACCTGTATCAATTTAACATCATTTGGACAAAAATATAAATTATATTTCATTCTTGAGGTGAATTATATTATGTTGAGAATGCAGTGGAATATAATCAGCAATCTGGGTTGGACTTGGTGATTGTCAGGACCTTGATAGTCAACCCAACATCTTGCACAAGTGACTATCAGGGACATGGGTTTTGACCCTACAGCTTGAATCAGGTGACTGTCATGACTCTGCCAGCCAGTCCAACATCTTGGACCTAGTGACTGTCTGGGTCATGGCATCTGATCATACAGTTTGGATCAGGTGACTGTTAGGACAACACATGGCCTCACAATCTGGCTAACTCTACAGTTTTTCTAATTTATTAATGTAAATAATCTTTCCTGTGATATATAATATAGTCTTAACCATACCAAATACTGTAGTGCATTCTCAACTTATATAATGCATAGACTGTCAATACTATGCAACATTGACCCAATATCAGCATTTGAATTAATCTTTATAGTTCTCTCTAAAGTAAATCAGTATTGTACTAGGGATATTAATATCTTAAATAGTAATTTTATGTTCATTTTAACCATTTCCAAAATTTATATAGCTTCTGGTAGCAGAGATGATTAATGGGATGTTGGAAATAGTTTTTTTTTAACTGCTGTGTGCTCTAAAATATATATGTAGTCATATACTCTATATATGACTAATATATGATAGCCCATTCACCTGGGCTCTAGGAGACTTGAACCATGGACCCCACATGTGTGAGGCAGAAGCTCTATCCACTCAGCTATGAGTAGTTTTAATAAAGAAAGATTCCAGAAGCAACTACTGCTGCCATGCTGGAATTTTCAACTTTCTCTGACTACTACTGTAGCTCAGAGGAATTAGTGATCCAGGCCAGTGTCATATAAATTGTCATCCACGCTTCCGTGGAAATAAACAACTTTATTTCCACTTCCGTGGAAATTTGTTTATTTCCACGGATGTGTATGTGACAATTTATATGACGCGGGTGTGGATCACCAATTTCTCTGAGCTTCAGTCAGGGAAAGTGAAAATTCCAGCATAGCAGCAGTAGTTGCTTCTGGAATGTTTCTTTATTAAGACTACTCATAGCTGAGTGGAGTCATACTCATAGTCTCCTTATTAAGACTACTCATAGTTGAGTGGAGTCATACTCATATTCTCTTTATTAAGACTACTCATAGCTGAGTGGAGTCATACTCATAGTCTCCTTATTAAGACTACTCATAGCTGAGTGGAGTCATACTCATAGTCTCCTTATTAAGACTACTCATAGGTGAGTGGAGTCATACTCATAGTCTCCTTATTAAGACTACTCATAGCTTCTGCCACACACGTGTGCAGTCCAGGGTTTGAGTCTCCTAGAGCCCAGGTGAATTAAATGTTTATTTCCACAGAAGTGTGTGACAATTTTACTAATGTATACGGTATATTAATTTTTTCAGTGAGGTCTTTAAGGCACGTCATAAAAAAACTAAGAAGGTTGTTGCTCTTAAGAAGGTTCTAATGGAAAACGAGAAAGAAGGGGTAAGTGTTATATGAAAATTGATGTATCAGACATTTATCGGAGAAAAAATGCTGTGCATACTGTACATGATAGTATACTAAAGAATGAAAATAAAACATGTATAGAAATTTAGTAAACAAAATTTGTGATGCCATACATCAATACAGGATATTATTTTTTCAGTTCCCCATCACTGCCCTTCGGGAAATCAAGATTCTACAACAACTTAAACATGACAATGTTGTCAAATTAAATGAAATATGTAGAACAAAACGTGAGTTTTTTAACATTGATTATTTTATCTTAAAGTAAATGAAGTTTTGCAATAATCATATTCTTTTGTAGTTTTCTTAGTTTCAAATTACAACATTTAACAAAGAGTCTTGAGTTTATAATAAATTTGTAGTTTGAGTGTCAATTTAAAAAAAAAAAATACTGAACTGTAATTAACTTTAATTGTGCTAGTTACTGAGTCTAACAAAAATGCTGCACACAAACACAAAATACTTTATTATGTTGATTAAAGAAGTCTTTTTACCATTAAAGATCTGTTGAATGCACCAGTTAGCATTACAATTAAATATAAAATACTAGAAGGTGGATACTTGGCATGCTCTTCAAAATGACTTAGTTAAATTAAGTAAATGGAGCAACACATGGCAAATGGCTTTCAGTATAAATATATGCTATATACTGGAATGTGGAATGGGAAAACAGGCCACACGCAACCTATATATTATGTGAAATATTACTAAAGAACTCTGGCAAAGAGAAATCTAGAGGTGGCTCTGGATTGGCACCAGGGAATCACCAGGGAAACTATCCAAAGGAGGCCTGGTCGAGGACCGGGCCGCGGGGACGCTAAGCCCCGAAATCATCTCAAGATAACCCCATCAAAGGTGTTGCAAGTAGAGCCTACACTACTCTAGCAATCTTCAGAATCACATTTAAATATATGGAAAAATACTAAAAAATTGTTCACCTGAACTGGAATATGTAGCAGTTGTATGGTGTCTATATCACAAAAAGCACTTCATTAAACTAGAAAGGGTTCAAAGACATGCTACTTAATGGCTTACAGCAAAAAAAAAAAATAGAGTGCAGCAATGAGAAGAGTCTGGTGTTAAATATGCCTAAGCTGGAAGAGAGAAGGAAAGCTGGCAACATGATATCCACTTACAAAATAGTGATAGGAATTGAATAAACAATTGACAAGACTTTTGAACCTGCAACTTCAAGAACAAGAGACCATAGATTCAAGCTAAGAAAACAAGGGATCCAAGAAAATATAAAGAACAAAAGTTTTCTTTTGCAAACAGTTGTAAATGGTTGAAACAACATAATTGAGAAAGTGGAGGAGGCCAAAACCATCAGTAGTTTCAAAGCATCATATAACAAAGATTATAGGGACGACAACACTACAAGCATAACTCTCATCCTGTAATTACACTCAGGTAATTATGATAGGTAGTTATACATACACATACATTATATTTTGTTAAGACTAACTGAGACCAACCTGTTCCATTTTAACAATGATGCCACTGTACATCCTCTTGCCTCAACAGAGAGAGAGAGAGAGTGGGATAATTGTGTTTATAAGAATATTTTAAATGTGTCATGAGAGGATCAAGATTTGTATTTTTAAAAATACAGTACTGTACATACTGTACTGTATTTCATAATATTGTTTGTAGTGTATTGTGAGATATGCCTGGCATGATTGACTGCAACACAAAAAATATCTAATTCTGTATTCTTTGACATTTTTATCTTCTTTTTTTTTTTTTTTTTTTTTTTTTTGAGATATATACAAGAGTTGTTACATTCTTGTACAGCCACTAGTACGCGTAGCGCTTCGGGCAGGTCCCTGGAATACGATCCCCTGCCGCGAAGAATCGTTTTTTCATCCAAGTACACATTTTACTGTTGCGTTAAACAGAGGCTATTGAATATGACTTTTAAAAAGAGAAGTTCCAGGTCAGAATTTTAAAATGATACAAGCGGACTACAGGGGGTTGGATTTTCCATATGAATATTTTTACAGATTGCGTACTAAGCCAAAGAATATATGTTATTGATTAAATTATCTATATAAAGTTTAAGATATTAACAATAAGAGATCAATAACAGTATATAGCCTTGTTGCAGTACTTGCATTTTTTGTACAGCATCTGCATACAATCGATGGCGCTCAACCTTTTACCTGGTGTTTGACTTCTGTGAGCACGACTTGGCAGGCTTACTGTCAAACTATAACGTCAAGTTTAGTCTGGGAGAGATTAAGAAAGTAATGCAACAGTTACTTGAAGGCCTCTTCTACATCCACAGTAGTAAGGTATGATCTAATCTTCTGTTATTCAAAGTTATAGAGAAGGCTTGAAGCTGGCTTCTACTGTACCTTGACCTTAGCCCGGTGATGTTCTAGGAGTGTTACAAAGTAATTCTGTAGTTTGTGTAATGATTTTCATAGATTAATTTGTTAATGATACATATTACCATACATGTACTTAGTTTATTCTATTGGAAAAAGCTTTATACAGTAGAGCCATTTGTTTTGAAGAACAATGAGGGTATTGAGTTTTTTTTATCTTAAGCATATCAATAATATTTGTTATGTACTCCTTATGTAATCCTTACACATTATATAGTACAGTATATATTTTACCTTGGTTTATTCTGAAAAAATAATTAAAATATGTTATTTTTTTATCTATATGTCTAGCCTATGCTTAAAACAATCAACTGATTGTTTTAACATCAGTTATGTTACCAGATAATCTTTTCCACTGTTTGAAAATTTAATGCACATTATGTTTTCAGATTCTACACAGAGATATGAAGGCTGCAAATGTACTCATAACAAAATCTGGAACGTTAAAATTAGCGGATTTTGGGCTTGCACGAGCATTTTCTCAGAGAAATGGGCAGCCAAATAGGTAATTAAATATGAATTTTGTATTTTATTTTATTGGCGAGTTATTAGTATTCAGTGATTTAATTAATTAGTTTCTCTTTCCCTCTCTCTCTAAGGCTAGTTTAATTTCCTTTCTTGAAATCTTTAGTGATAGTGTAGGTACCTTGCTTATAGACTGGAGTTACCTATTTTCTTTCCCCCATGTTGTGGGACTAGTTTATTGAACAGATAAATACTTTTAGTTTTCAAATTATACACCACTGAAAAAAGGTCTTCACTATATACAAAAATCCATTGTATTTGTCAATAAAGAAATAAAACAAAAAAAAATAAATTGCACAATTTAATTTTTTTTTTTTTTTTTTTTTTTTTTTTTTTTTTAGGTAAGGTACATACATAAAGAGATTTACAAAGTTTGTTGGCTTTATAGATAGAGCTAGTACATACAATGCCTAAAGCCACTATTACGCAAAGCGTTTCGGGCAGCGAAACAATTAGCATTGTGGTTCAGATAACGAGTTAATCGTGAAAGGTTTCATAAATTGCTTGGTTGCATCTATAGACGTAAAACCAGCATGTTACAAATCTACTTGGAGTGTTGAAGAACATATATTAAGTAAATTTGCAAGTCAACCGTGTATGTTGTTCACTTTGAAATTTATGAGTATTGTACTACACCACAAGTAGATTTGTAATGCACATATTTTTCATGTGAAAACATAGGGTGCATTCTAAATAAAGAATTTGATTACATAAAAACATGTGCTGCACTGTCAAATTTTAAGATATATTTAAACAATGCAGTGAAATGAATGTGAGGTTTTTCTGTATGATATTGAGTTATTATTGTATTACAGAACTGTATGTGAAAGCAGTTCTTGTGTAGGGCTACTTGTATATATATACAAGTAGTCATCCCTTCCTTTCAATAAGTGAAAGGAAGGTATGGTGTTCATGTGTCATCATACTTTGGAGCTCAGAATAGTTCAGTGATTCTGTAATAGAAGTTTTGTAATGCACAGGCTTATGATTATAACTTGATTGGCTTTGATTTGTTGTTATTATTAAATAAATTGGGAGGCAGCTTCCTCTGGTGTTTAACTGTATCTTCATTCAAGTGAACTTTGACAGGTACACAAATCGTGTTGTTACACTCTGGTATCGTCCACCAGAGTTGCTACTCGGAGAGAGGAACTATGGGCCGCCTATTGATCTTTGGGGAGCAGGTTGCATAATGGCAGAAATGTGGACACGAACACCTATTATGCAGGTATAGCTACAGTATTAAAATTGTTGTCAATTTGAAAAAATTGAAAAATATGAACATTTCAATTCAAAAGTGCAGGTAACCATATACAATGTATAGTCTTTCTCCAACTAATTAATTTTGATCAGATCTCATTTGCTGAACAGTTCTTCTTTTGTATTGAGATTTTAAATGTTTACTATTCTAGGTTTTAAAACAGATTATAGAAAATATTTGTACATTTTGTTATACCAAAATCACATAAAAAAGATATATTTTTAACATACAGGTATTACAGTTAAGAAAAACTAAATTCACTCGTCTCGTCAGAGATACAGATGCAGCCTCGTTATTCGAGGCTGCATCTGTATTTTCTGATGCCAGAAAACTTGCTTTAAAGAATTATTTATTGAATCATACAGTATTTGCTTCTATTGAAAAGGGGTTCATGTGGAGAATCAACTGTATTATGGGCTTAAAGTTGATACTACTTTGTACAGTAATAGAAAGGAATATTGTTGCACATAAAATTTAATCTATGTATTCATGGAGGAAGTGATAACTTAATATGTTTGGAGTGTTAGAAAAGATTACATATGAAGCCAAGCCTACAGGGAAGTGAGGCTCTCAATAGGATGCAAGGAATCTAAGAAACTGAGACCTTGTAACAGATTTTTATGATATCAATATAACTGTATTTACATTGCACTCAGGACAGATTTGGGTATTATGCAGTATCATATACATATGATAAAAATCATTACGTCATGGAGTGAAAACAACTACCGTATGTTTACTAAATGATTGATACATCTTTCAGGGCAGCACAGAGCAACATCAGCTTAATCTCATTTCACAGCTCTGTGGTTCAATAACTCCTGAGGTCTGGCCAGGAGTGGAAAATCTACCACTTTTCTCTACTATGGAACTTGCCAAAAATCACAAGAGAAAAGTCAAGGAAAGGCTTAAGCCCTATGTCCGTGACCCTCATGCCTGTGACCTTATAGACAAGATGTTAACTCTGGATCCTTCCAAAAGAATGGGTATGAAGTAAAATTGACTTATCGCTTAGTAGACTAATTCAGAAGAAACTCTTAATTTATTTAGAATAGATTTCAAATTCAATGTTTTTCACTTGGTGTATATTTTTGTTTATAAATTAAAACATGATTTTTTAAATTAAACTTAATACATATACTTTTTCTCCATAGATGCAGATTCTTCATTAAATCATGACTTCTTTTGGATGGACCCGCTACCATGTGACCTGGGCAAGATGTTGTCACACCACACCCACAGCATGTTTGAGTTCTTGGCTCCTCCTCGCCGTGGGAAGCAGCAGCAACCACAGCTACCGCCTCAGCCTCCACCGCAACAACAGTCACAGGCAGGCCATTCCTCCCAGCAGAGCCAAGCATCACAACCATCGGGACAGTCTCAACAGGGAGGTTCTAGAAGGTCAGGTCATCGGCCTTCTGCTTCTTCCAGTGTAGCCAGTATGTCCTCTTGTCCAGAGAGAATATTTTAGATGAACACTGAATTATCAGTGGTAATACACTGATTTTTTTTTTTCCAGATGTATTTATTGAAAATTAATGTTAAAAAAGTTTTGTAACTTAAGAAAAAAAAAATCCTAAAGTGCATACACTGTGTTCAGGGGTTGAGAAGTAGACTATATTTTGCATTAACTTTTAAACCGGTGAATCCTAATGCTTTAAAATATGAAAATTTTTTAATGAGAATATTATATAGTGTTAATGTGGTTAGTAATATCCAGTGAGAACACTATGAGAATATTTTTAGTAATTTTATAGATAACATTTATTTGTTGATTGTAAAAACTTCAATGTCTATTTGTAATTTTAGGAATACATGCAGGTATATAATTGGAAATTAACATTTAAGAATTTATTTACCAAAATAAATAGGATTTGATAGCCTTTGGGTGTAGTGCTAAAAAAAAAAATATCTACAATACTGATGCAGTAGACTACCGGTTTTACACGGGATCAATTCTTCAACACATCATGCAAACACAAACTCCACACATATTGGTTAACCCATTGGTTACACCACTTCTCTTTCAGCCCCATACTTTTCTGGGGTAAGAGAATTGTTTTTGTATCAAAAAATAATTTTTGAATCTCTTTTTTCCGTAATAAGACACATGGTCCATTGAACACAATAACAGGTCAAAGGTGTTCCGGAAACATATAGTCTATATAGGTATCTATAAAATAGAATACCTGTTAGTCTGATTATGCACTGAATGTTGAGAGCCCAAACATGAAGTCTGGATTCCATGAAGTCTGAATCCCCGCCCCCCCTCAACTCCACGGTGCTTTTTCAGCTGTTCGTTATACTGCATGATCTGAGAAAGGGAGGGAGATAGTGGAATGGGAAGCAAAAGATAGAAAGAGAAAGATAGCAGGAGAACACATGGAGGAGAGAAAGATAGACAGT